CTCCACGTTGTTCTCCTTGGAAACCATCGTGATTAATTCTTGTGGAATACGTCACGATGGGATAACTGACCTGCTTTCATCCTTACCTACCATCTCTCACTGATGCCCCGCCAGCGTATACCGATAACGCAGGCGGGGTAACCATTCCATTATCATCCATAAAAAAGTTGTAGTTTCATGAAATATAAAAATTATGCAAATGAAAAACACAAAAGCAATTTTTTTAATTAGAATATATTTAGTAAGAAAAATATATATAAAAGTACAGAAATAATAAAGAAAAAAGTACAAAAGTATATTATTTTTGTTTATTCAAAGCACAATTATTATTGTTCAATAATATTACATATGTTTTTACGGTAAATTTATTTAAAACTTTCATTATCATTTCAAGATCATGCCTTTTCTCTTGGCGTAAGCAAAGACCACAGTCACACCACCTGCTTGTAATTTCTACCCATTTATTATTTTACTGTAGAGTTTTGAAGCTTGCCTGGCCAGTATAGACGCCTTGCCTATTTCTACCGTTAAACAACGATGCGTGCAATGTGACTTCATTTCAAAGACAATAAATTCAATGCAAATTTTGACTTCTTACATTTTTTATACAAATTAGAATAGCAAACAAGCTGATGGCCCACCTGATGGAAAGTGGTAACCATCGCCTATAGACATAAGCAGTAGTATGAACATAACAGAGTATACTATTTCGCCGATGATACTCCCCATGCGTTGTCATTCCTGGGGACTCAGGTGTTATTCCTCTGTACTCTGTAAATTCACTGCCATATCCCACCCTTCAAAACGAAACACAGCGATGCAAACACAACTGTTTCACGGTAAAAATACGAATTGGAGAGAGGTGCCCAAGAAAATGACTTGTACAAAGTCTCCCTCTGGTTGGTGTAGGACAGATGCACTTCTCATGTATATAGGCGAGGGTAACGTACCACTTTTCATGAGGTGGGCTGTCAGCTTGTTTGCCATTTTATGTAAGTATCACAAAAAAACTAAACATTAATGTGCTTTACTGAATCTTGAAAAAATCTACGACACATCGAAATAGCAAGAGTTATAGGCAATCGTAGCAAATTTACAGATTAAGTAATAGTTTATTAGGCAAAATATACATAACTATATCTTTGTAAATTCTGAATCCCATATTGTGGGCACAAACATGTTTGACAATAAAAAAATGGATAAATTTTATATGACGTAATTGACGATCATAAAGTACATTCGCATTTAAAAAAAGTTTTTTTTTTTAATCAAATAAGAATAGTCAAAGACGAATAGTGGCGGTCTATGGTTTCTGCATGGTCCAAGAAAAGAGTTTATGCCTTACAATAGTCATAAATCATGAACTTCTTGTATTTTGTGGTGGAACAATTAGGAGATTGATATCACCGCAGGGAAAAAGCTGCTAATTTTCTGGAATTCAAAAAGCAGGCATAGGTTGAATAATCAATACATATAATAAAATCGTAATTAATTGCTGTCTGTATATGGAAGACGTGTAATAAAAACTATTATAGAGAAGCTTTATGAAAGCAATAGAATCCAAAAGAATGATTTTTAAAATTTTTGTCTGTTTCTTTGTACGTTTATGCATGCTAATCTCAGAAACGGCCTAATCCATTTGAATGCAGTTTTCACTAATACGTTGCGGTTTGCTCTACTTAAGACTTAGTGTTTGTTTTTATTTCAATCGGTTCATAAATAAAAAAAGTTGTATCACTCTCAAGAATCACATATAAAATGTTATAAATAACTGATCAGTTAAATTGGCTGAAACTTTATGAAGATATTAGGTATATAATTATCATTTAAGTATATAAGATTGGATTCATGAAGGGTTCCAATGGGCATTACCATACGGGAACTACATAGTAATAAGCGGGCAACGCCGCAAGAAACTGCTAGTTCTATATATATTTACCTAGCTCTTTCCTGCTGTTTTATCTGCAATAACCTGTTATCTTTTATTAAGAGATTTTCAAGAAATCCTTTCTTAGTAGATGTCTAACTTTATGCTCCATAAGGATGCCCTTATAGGGAATATGCATTCCTACGCAAAATAAGTATTTGGCATGTGCCAATTACTTTTTTTTTTTAACTCGCCTTTTGTACTAAACATTTTTTGTAATGTGGGCAATAAAATGTAAATACATAAATTAATCTTTTTCTGAAATTTTAACTTAAAATCTGTGGCCTTGTTAAAATAAACACACTACTAAAAATACGCACTAGATCAGTACAAAAATAGTAGGTACCACTTTAATAGCTTAGTTCTAGAAAACTTGAAACATTAAAATTCTACTATTATGCCCATAGACTACTGAGAAAAAAATAACTAATGTTTATATATTTGCTAATTTACCAAAAATAGAACAAACTTTTGAATTACGAATATTCAATAATAATGAAAACTACATACATTACTCGCTTAGCAATAAACTGGCACTCCTCTCCTTTTTCTCCAATGCAAAACTGCGCGGGACACGGCAGCTTGATGTGTTTGTTTTGTATACATTTTGTAATACAATGCATATGTTTTGGCTTGTCAATTCTATTCGAACGTTCACCTTGTTTACATTTTCAATTAAATGAAATAGGTAATTATTACTTAAATAGTAATGAAGTTTAGAAGTAATAAATTACAGAGAAAGACGAAGATAAGCAAACATTGTACCATGAGTATATCAGGACAGCAAAAAGTAAGAAAATCAAGTATATAAGTAATTACTTAGTAGACTAAAGCTAGGCCTTGAGTCGCTTTTAATTGCACCTTACATTTAAAAGTAGATCAAACTACATACAGCAATAACCCAATTAATTAAATTAATGTACAAATAAATAGGTACCGGACCTTACCTCTCGCACCATTTACTTGGCTGACCGGTGCTCCGTTCACTTTGATCGGTCTTCCGTCCGCACTGCATTTTAATAACATATTTTTGTCATACACTCACTTATTTTGATCCATTGAGCATTTATAAACAGTAAAACTAAAAGCTACTCGTAAAAACAATAACATGCCAGTTAATTTCTAGGCAAAGTTATTTTCTTCTTTCGCGCCAACTGATTGGTCGCCACTTGTGACGTCAAAAGTCAATTTGAAACCACTCGCACTCGAATGGACACAAAAAAACTTGATAAATTTCAGTCTTATTTTCATCTGTATCACTTATTGTCAGCCGCAAAGCTGTTCACTGAACACAACTACCGCACAAAATAAGATGTTTATTGGTTTCCAATACTTATTCCATAGCAAACCGCCGAATACAAAACCCTTCACAATACTAACATACTAACTGAGCAACAGGCTGATTGACTGATTACATTACAGTGAAATTGCAGCGGATTGCGGCGTAGTGTTGTTTTGATAAGTTAGCTACACGCGGCTTCACGGCAAGCATGCGAGAATTCGAGAAATAATTAATTTATGAATGAAATAAACATGAACTTCGTTCGAGTCACATCACACGAAAGAACCTATGGCAAAGACCGTAGACAATTTATTCTTAATAGAAAAACAATCGCTAACAAGAACATAATAACAAGTTGTTAAAATCAAATTACAAAATACTTTTTGTATAAACTAACAATACAAAAAAATATTGCACATTGCAAAGAAAACAAGATTACAATTAAAGATTCGAGTTAAGTATATTATATACAGATTAAACTTTGTGATAATAGCGATGACGTCAGACAGGAAAACATGGCGTTCTCAATGTCAAATTTATTAGTTTCAATTTTATGTTTACAACCACTATTTAGTTTGTGGTTAAAGGCAATTCTTGTAATTTAAGAAATTAAAGTACCAAATGGGCATATTTTTTTTTATATTATATATAATTTTTTTTAAATGATAAATAAACTGAAATTTATTTCTATAACAGTTTAGTTATATATTATAAATTGTAATTAATTTAATTAGGTACCTAATACGTCTCTGTTAGAGCTTACCTATACTCAAAGAGAGTATAGATATTTGTTATAAAGGGGATATCCGCTATTTATTCAACATTTGCTAACACTCACTTTCAATAAAAATGGTGAATAACCTAGTTGAACCAAAAGTACGTAATTTCATTTTTAACTGACTTTTATAACTAACGTAAACAGAGCATAGAGTCTACTGTTGCTAAATTTGGCGTAATCAGTTGAAAACTCAAAACAAGTGTTGTCGGATCTTTTGATTCCTGGCAACACTATTCCTTCCAGAGTTGTAAAATAAAAAAAAAAGATTGTCGTTGATTCAATCTCGCACTTGTCGCCGGTTCACCGGTTTGCCGGTAACTGCCAACACGATGTTACCCATTTAACTCTATCGGGCTGATGTGGTTAAAAATTACAGTGATAATGTATATTATCACAAAACATGTTTACCGTTAGTTTAAATATTTATTTGAAAATAGCGACACCAAAAAATAATTTTTTTTAGTGATTAAGAACAATTTTAGTTTTCCTTCTTTTTATCTTTTAGTCAGTGGATACCGTTTTATCTGTGGTTGAACAATTTTTATTTTTTTAATATTGTGATTATTTTTTTTGTGGTAGTCTATTACATCCCAATGCTGGGCAGTGGCCTCTTTAAAATGTTTCCAGCTCGTACGATTATTAACTAAAGTATATAATTAAATATATGACAAACATTTTATGTTTTGCTAGCTATTATTGTTTTGCAGCTTAACCCGTGTTAATCAGTATTTATGTACTATTTTAGTATTTTATGTGGTAAGTTAGTATACAACCTACCCCTGTACCAAAATTTCATTAAAATAAGTTGTGTAGTTTTTACGGCAACAACAAACATCCATCCATCCATTATTCCTTACAAACTTTCACATATATAATATTAATAAGACTTAATGTCATAACAATGTAATAATTTTTTTCTGTTTTTGTTTTTTTTTAACAAACTTTGTTTTTAACTAACTTTAAAAAAGTAGCTTAAAAAAGACAGTCTTAGATCTAAAAAGAGTTGGTAACACTGTCGCTACCGCCATATTTTGTCGGCAATCTGGTATTGCGGCGAGGGCGCCATTTTGATAAATTCTGAACTTAAGCGACGCTATTTCTTAAAATTGCTAATTCACTATCAAAAATAAACACTGAAGAAAATGGGCAAGAAAGATAAGAAAGAAGACACAACTGAGGGATCCAGTGAAGAAGAGTATGTGGTGGAAAAAGTGCTTGATAAACGAACTGTTAAGGGAAAGGTTAGTGAAATAAAATTGTCTAATATTTTTTTATATCTTTTATCCAAAACATAGTATTGTCGGGTCTTTACTTGCATAAAAATTGCTCAATAATTAATATTGATATATATATTTTTATAAGGTATATTTAGTGTCGTGGAAACTTGAATACGAACTTTGTTGACATAGCCCGGTTGGCTTAAAATGTTATAATTTGGGTCAGCGTCAGCGTAGCTGTTTTACAAATGCTCATATCTTTAGAAAACAATAAAACTACTGTAATACTAGAACGATGCACTAACTTCCAAAATTGTATAAATATTAAATCTTACCTATTACCGGGAACATGCGCCTCCATACTCGTTGATATTGTAAGTAATTAACAGTTATGCAGTGAAACTGATTACTGGCAAATTTCCATTATTAATAATCAATTTTCCTCATAGTTCTTAATGGGTTTATTCTTGATCTTACCTCACTTGTTAGTAAGTGATGATAAATGTAAGGTAACGTTCTTATTCATTGTTTGTGTATTATTATACATTGTATTATATATTGGGTATTCCCAATGAATTTGTGTTTATTTTGTCATAAAATAGAAAATATTATCAAAAGTAAATCCGATTTATGTCTTAAAATGTAGTTGTTATTCATTGTCATAATTTAATTTTTCAGGTACAATATTTATTAAAATGGAAGGGGTATAAAGAAGAGGAAAGCACATGGGAGCCAGAAGAGAATCTTGATTGTGAGGAGTTGATAAAAACATTTGAGGACAACCGGAAGGAGAAAGAGGTAGGTGGTTTAATTAAATTACAACCGTCATGGTTCAGTGGTGGGCACATTGTATTGGGTAAACTAGGTCCTTTATCTGGGGGGAAAGGGATTGTTAGTAATAGAGACAGAGTCCCATTGCTAGCAATATACCCAACCAGGTGGACCTCCTCGCGGTTCCCCCTGGAAACTATCATGGTTAATTCCTGATGAATTCATCATGATGGGCTAACTGGCCTGTTTTCATTCTCATCTATCACCCTTCACTGGTGCTCCGGCAGCGTACCCCGTTAGCGCAGGCGGGGTTACCATACCATTTTCACTCATAAAAAAAAAAACTAGGTCCCTCATTCAATTCAGAGTAGGGTTAATTCAGAAAAAACTTTTCTACATGGGCTCAGATTTGGACGTTGTGGGTTGTTTCCTCAGAGGATCATTGCTTGCTTTTTTTTTTATAACACGGTATTCTCATTTGATTTACTAGGCTATTATTGGGATTGTGTGTCACTTTTTTTTTTAATTAATTAATTAAACAATAATTACATCACAAATCTGTTATTTACTATAACAGATTTATGATTAAAAACAGTAGGTACCAAAATTATATATTACTCTAAGTCTTATATATTACCTTAACTGTAATGTTTATGTGTAAATATGTACTGGTACATATTTCTGTATGTTTGTGTATGTAGATTTATATGTGTATGGGCATGTGTGTGTCAGATATCCTGATAAAAATCTAAAGATTTAATTGTATTTGTAAAATTTGTTAATTGATATGATATGTAAGTAGAAGAGGATCCATGACACAAGAAATCCTAATCTGAAGTCTTAGAAACAAAATATAGAACTGTTACTTGTCCTTTTGGTTCCAATAAATATAATATTATTAAAAAAATGAAAACTTGCATTTTTTCCACTAGTAATCTAATATCCTCATGGAGAGAATTAATTGGTTGTTATGTTGATTGTTTTTACTCTTGGGAGAGAAGTGGATACTTTTTTTGGGTCAACACTTGCCATGTTCTATACAATTATGTGACAATATCGGACTCTTTGTCTAGGCACATCTGTTGAATGTGTGGCAATATATTTTATTCTGAATAGGTATATTTATATGAATTGGCTAATTATTTATTCATCAGGCTAGTTGACATTAACTTGGGCTGTTAATTCAATTTGTTTACAATGTTGGTACAATGGTAGCAAACTAGCATACATTCTTTATGAGGGTTAACAGTAAGCATAATTTTGTCTGTATTGTATTTCATTACTGTCTTTATGTAAATGTAATGTGAGAAACTTATTCCTTTTGTCTTTATGTAAATGTAAGCTTATTCCTTTAGTGTGTTATATTGTCATAGTCGTAGAATACTAACGGATCTATATATGTAATATTTGTCAGATCCGTCAGTATTCTATGACTATGACAATATGTCAATTTTGAATATTTTTTAATTATTAATTTTAAAAGCTTTATTAGTGAAAGTAAAAATCTATTCTCTACTAATATAGTTTATTATAAATTGATGAACATTATTAGGGTACATATTCATTGTCTGGTAAGCCATAACAGAGTCAAAGACTTGTGTATAATAAAGGCAGCTTAGAAACTCTTGATAGCAGAGGGATGACACCTTTACATTAAGTGTAGTGGTATAACATTAATCGAAAAGTTTTATTATTTTAGAAAAGTAAAAAATCGGAAGATCGCGGCAAGAAGCGTGTTCGCGAGTCGAGCGAGGAGACAAGTGGAACCGGCAGGAAGGGCCGTGCCACCAGTGTATCCTCCGTCGAAGAGCATAAGGACAAGAAAGAGCGGAAGGATGATAAGTCAAAGTCTGGGTTCGATAAGGGACTGAAGGCAGAGAAGATTATAGGTATATTTGTTTCATTTGTATTTTAAATGTCACCAAAGCCTAACTGCGGTTGCTAGCTTGACTGCCAAGTGTAGCAACTACTGATAGAATCCCCTAGGGTGTAGGCTTATGTCCAGCAGTGGACAGTTAATGGCTTATATGATTATGATGATGATGCTGACGACCAGGATCGACAGGATCGAGTCGTCGTTTTAATTTGAAATTTTTTTTTGCCATTACAACATATTCTTTTTTTTTTTTATAAATATACAATTAGCAAAAAAGCATATTATGCTATACTGTATGTAATGTTAGGAAATAAGTACATTACTAGTAAGGTTTTTCAGTTTTAACACAAATTCATGGTTCCATCAACCAAAATATAGTATGTTTCCTGCAAAAATTGGTATGATAAACTTGGACGATGGTAGTGGTATACAAAAGGACGTATTTTATGATCATTATTTCAATCATTATCAGGCCACTGCTCTACAAGGATGCATTTATATTGAAGAAAATGTATAGAAAAATTAAAATTTATTTTATTACATTACAATTCGAATATAAATTTAAGCTATGTTGATTTTTGCTGTCCTAATTTGTTTAAAAACATACATATTATCTATGATTTATATTTTATTTAAATAGATTTTTTGCTTGCTGTTCTGTATGTATGAATTTCAGAAAGAAGTCAAATTATATATGTACTATACCAATTTTTAAGTTAGACCTTTAGGAATGCATCTGTAAGAACTGCATCCAAATTGGTGCGGTAATGTTTGCATTATGCTGTAACAAGCATACATCTTGCTGAGACCTCTCATTTCTCTTATTTTTCTTAAATATGTCCCATGTACAGACATTGTTTCGTAATTATTATTTTATTATATTTATATTAGTAAGATGGTATAGTGTGTAGATGCAGATGTGAAAGTAGTCCTCTCTGCTTCATGAAGATTGAGGTTGGCTTCGTAAAGTTACCTTTGCACTTCCAATCAGATGGATTTGTTTGCTTCTCTAACAATAAAAAGTATAAACACATTTGCAACAATCAAACATGATAAATTCTTAATATGTTAAAATACATGGCAATTTTTTTTAATACAACTTAGAATGGCAAACAAGCTGACGGCCCACCTGATGGAAAGTGGTAACTGTCGCCTATAGACATGAGCAGTACCATGGACATAACAGAGTATACTGTTCCGCCTATGATACCACCCATGCGTTGCCATTCCTAAGGACTCAGATGTTATTCCTCTATACCCTGTAAATTCACGCCATAATTCCATAATGAAAATGATTGTTACAGGTGCATCAGACGCTACTGGTGAGCTGATGTTTTTAATAAAATGGGCAGATTCTGATGAGGCTGAGCTGGTGCCAGCCAAGGTTGCTAATATTAAATGTCCGCAACAGGTATGTCAATAATAATAAAGCCCTTTTTATTCCGTATTCACTACAATTTTGGCAAAACATATTTTTCAGTTCTATTTATTACAATATGTCTACATATACAAATAATAAATACCAGAGGGAGACTGTAGGGAAGTCTTTCTTGGGCACCTCTGTTCCATTTATGTTTTTACTTTGAAGCAGTTGTATTAACATGGCTTTGTTTCGGTTTGAAGGGTGGGATATGGCAGTGAATTTACAGGCTACAGAGAAATAACACCTTAGTCCTTGGGAATAGCAATGCATGGGTGGTATCATGGGCGAAACAGTATACTCTGTTATGTCCCTGGTACTGCTCATGTCTATAGGCGATGGTTATCACTTTCCATCAAGTGGGGGGCTGTACAAAGTCTTTTTATAACACGATACAAGTTGACCAGGCAGTTTGGTGTCATTATTAAATTCAAAGTACTAGACTTTTGTATTCATATTTATTAATAACATTTTTACTAATTTTGATAGATTTGTTTATATTGTGCAGTATATAAAAAAACAAACATAGACCTGTACATAGATACATATCTAAATTCGAGATATTAAAAAATCTCAAAATTTGTAGACGTGTGAACTAATTACTGTCCAATATTATGAGTCATAACTTTATAGCATAATAAAATTTACTTTGTCTTCCAGGTGATTGCATTTTATGAGGAAAGACTGACGTGGCACACGCCGGCGGAGACTGAGTGATCACAGACTTAAAATTAGGTTAAACCGAGGACTATGACGCAATATGGTTGACTAGCCAATAGGCCGCACATTTGTGAACTTGCTATTCCTCCCAGTTCTCTGGTACCTTTGTGTATAGTTGTAATATTTATGAATGTACCTATTGAGGTTGTACGTCGATATATTAAGATCTACATTCATATTGTGAATAATTTAGAATTTATAGATAGAGTATCTATGCAAATGTTTCACTAAAAACAGGTCAACTGTTTTTTTAATGGATGATAATGGAGTGGTAACCCTGACTGCGCTACCGGTATACACTGGCAGGACACCAGTGAGGGATGATAGATGAGCACGAAAGCAGGTTAGTTGGCCCATCGTGACAAATTCAATGATAAATCAATCACCATGTTTTCCAGCGGGAACCGCGTGGAGGTCGACTTGATAGGGTATATTGCTAGCAATGGAATTACTAATCTTTATTAGTAACTATGCCTTCTCCCCCCAAGGATAACTTTTTGTTTCGTGCTGTATGAATAGTGTTGTTTAAGTAGGTGATAATAGTATGGTAACCCTGTCTGCACTAACAGTATACACAGGGGGTGAAGGGGTTGTTGGCAATGGAGTTTGACAGCCCTATTGTTAGCAATATGCCCTATTAGGTCGACCTCCACGTGGTTCCCCCTGGAAACCATTGTGAAAAATTCTTGTTGAATTCGTCATGATGGGCTTCATTGATGACCTGCTTCATCCTCACCTTCACTGGTGCCCCGCCGGTGTATATCGATAACGCGGGTGGGGTTGCCATTCCATTATCACCCATTAAAATAAAACGGTATACACTGGCAGGGCACCAGTGAGAGATGACAGATGGCGATGAAAACAGGTCTGTTAGCTCATCCTGACAAATTTAACTAAAATTAACCACAATGGTTTCCAAAAGGAACTGCATGGAGGTTTTTTTTATACAACTTAGAATGGCAAACAAGCTGACGACCCACTTGATGGAAAGTGGTAACCGTTGCCTATAGACATGAGCAGTACCATGGACATAACAGAGCATACTGTTTCACCCATGATACCCCCCATGTGTTGCAATTCCTGAGGACTCGGATGTTATTCCTCTGTACCCTGTAAATTCACTGCCATATACAACCCTTCAAACTGAAACACAGCCATGCAAACACAACTGCTTCACAGTAGAAATACGAATGCGACAGGGGTACCCATGCAATCGACTTTTGTACAAAGTCTCCCTCTGGTAACCATAATATACATTTATTGCCAAGTATGTGGGAGAGCATATATTGTAGTAAGGTTAAATTAAAATTGATACAGAATTTAATATAACCAGAAAAACTGTTCTGAATGTATAGTATAGACAAAATATGTTTTAGTTTTTAAATAATTGAAAATGTTCACCATTTTCAATTAATCTATGTATATTAATTGTAGCAATAATAAAATTCTAGCATATATTTGTATATATGATAGAAATAGTTCCCAATTCTAATTTAAAGATATTACTACAAAAGACACTACTGCAAGAGTAAAGAAAGTTTTGTTTTAGAAAAAGTGTCAGCCAATTTACTAGCAATTTAATAATTACGTTTGGCTGATTAAAAGTTGTCGCGTTGTTTAGACTTGATACTCTATCTATATAATCTAATGTGAATAGACAAACTGCAGAGTTGAAGTATATATACTGTATTATATTCACTGTCAAATACAGAAATATTTTCAGTTAACCGCTAAAAATATTTTGTGTATAAAAAAATACCATAATATAGTTATTGTGATGATTACTTATGCCTAATTATACAGTGAAATCTGGTTAAGTGAGTCAGTAAGGGACCTGTAAATTTGTCTCTCTTATAGAGGCATTCCACTTACCCAGTGTCTCAGATATCCAGTTTTTTTTATTATATACAACTTAGAATGGCAAACAAGCTGACGGCCCACCTGATGGAAAGTGGTAACCGTCGCCTATAGGCGATAAATATCTTTCTCATTTACAGAGACTTCCATTAATCTATGTCAGATTCTTATTCTACAAAGAGTCGATTTTGGCACATTAAATTTGACAGAGACTTCATTGCGCGTCTTCCCACTTCCATAAATGTATGTTAACTTCAGTTTTCAAGTACTGATAACGATTTGAGCCTTCGTTTTGGTATTTTCGAAATAAACATCTGTGTGATAGTAAAACTAAAACTCAAGGTCATTTAGGCTCAAAATTAGTTAAATGCAGAATTTGCGGGTAGAATAAGAATAGGTAGGTAACGAATTTAAATGCAAAATAGGCGAAGTGAGGTTATAAATTGTTGTCCCAGTTACAGAAGTTAATGCATATAAAATTCACTCGCTCGCTCAGTCATAGAGGTAACTGTGCCTAGAAAATCGAAAGAACGAATCCCAGATATAGAGGTTTGCTTCGTGCCACTAACAGAAGTAATTCAGTGCCAAAGTTTTGAGGCCCTGAGGCCTCAAAACATGCTCATGCTGACATGAGTTCCACTTATGAAGGTTTCTCACTTCTCCAGGTCCCACTTAACCAAGTTTCACTGTATCAGAATATTGTAAATTTTATGGCATAGTGTTACATTATTGTTTGTCCAAACGAGGGCGGTTGCAGTATTTATTTGTACTTCAATATGGTCTGTGCAGACGAGAGAAATATCCCTTTATTTGCCTTCACTGCCTAAAAGCTTGCCAAGAGATAATACTCAGTATCCGGTTAAAATAAAATTTTTAAAATTTCATTTTAGAATACACCCATGTCTAAGTACATAAATTATTTAAAAGCAAATTTTGTTTATAGAAAAAATCTTCGTCTATGCAGACCATTAGAATTACATCACATAATGTATAAGGGGTATTGAATATACTGCTGTTTTTTTTTTTATGGTAAAAACTTAGATTATATAGATAATTCCCATACAAATGTTTTACAAAAACAAGTCAACTTTTTTATCCATGTGTGCATGAATAGAATTACCATAATGTACATTTACTACCCAGTATATTGTACTAAATTATTATATGATTTGTACCGATGCATATCTTTACTGATTACTGTGAATTATATCCCAGTGTAGACATAGGTTTTAGTTTTAAAATTATTGAAAATGTCCGATTTCAATAAATACATGTATAAAAAAAATTTTAACCTATACGAAATATATATATTTGTATAATATCAGAGAAAATAGCTCCCAATTCAAGTCTGGGAAATTTGTAATTTAATTTCTTGCAACGCTGAACAAATTGTGTTAAGTTTTAAAAAAAATTGTGTGTGAAATTAAATGTTACAAGACACATTTTTGACACTCATTGTCTGTCTATATAATCTAAGCGTAAAAAATACCAAAATACATTCATAAACAATGAAATTTATATAAATTATATCAAGTTATGACTGTCGACGAATGTAATAATTCATATTTGTTTGTGCTAATGAGAGAATTCGCGGGAATAGGTACGTAAACTCCGCTATAGGAGTGTCCAGGGTTAAGTGTGACTATTAGTTATCAAGCCATTGTGGTATCAATTTATTATAAGTAATTCAAATATATTTTTTTTTTTCTTCTCGAATCACTTGCCTTCCTCATTCCCTTCCACTGTAATTTTATTTAAAACTTTGTATAACTCAATTAAGAACTGGTATTAATTATTTTTATGCCAAATCATGCCTATAGGTGGACCATCCGCTGGTTTGCCATTCTAAAAGTTGGCCTTAGGAGACGAAAAACGATTATATATAAAGCCGAGATATTTTAGTAAGAAAAGCGAGAGTTTGCTGGCAATCTACTAAGACTTACACAAATTAATGTCCAGAAAAAAGCTGACTACGTTTGATAGAAAGTGGTAACTGTAGCACGATTGCTGCGTAAAATACAGTGACAGATTGAATTAGAATAAAGTCATATAGTCCAATTTATTGCAGAATCTTATAAATGTAGAATTAGTGGAGCTACAATAAAATTAGAATATTTTCTTTAAAAACTTTAAAATTAATCTCGCATACATTTTTATAATTTTTTTTATGGCTAACTTAGAATGGCAAACGAGCTGACGGCCCACCTGATGGAAAGTGGTTGCCGCCGCCTATAGACATGAGCAGTACCATGGACATAAACTGTTTCGCCCCTGATATCCCCCATGTGTTGCCATTCCTGAGGACTGGTGTTATTCCTCTGTACCCTGTAAATTTACTGCGATATCCTTCCTACCTTTCAAACCGAAACACCCATGCAAACACAACTGGTTCACGGTAGAAATACGAATGGGACAGAGGTGCACAAGCAAACGACTTTAATACAGTCTCCCTCTGAACTTAACTATTCAGTAACTTTGCCCACGTGCATTGGTATAAATAATATCCTATAATTAGAATCTAAAATATAATGCGTACTGGGCACAAATTCCATTCAAATTTAATACGATCCCCACAGCCACTTTCTACTATCGTACGGCTCGCCATCGACAGGGAGTTCATCCTCATGTCCTACAGTCTCAATGGTCGCGTACTGCGCGGTTTCAGAGATGTTTCCTCCCACGAACACCCAGGTTGTGGAATGAACTCCCTGCCGAGGAGCACCAAGAGACTACAGCATAGGGTTCTTCAAAAGGGGGGTAAAGAGATTTCTTCAGGGTCGGCAACGCACGCGTAATACCTCTGGTATTGCAGGTGTTCATAGGCTACGGTAACCACTTACCATCAGGTGGGCCGTATGCTTGTTTGCCACCTCAGTGGTATAAAAAAAAAAATCTAAAAATTCAAATTTTCATAAATTTTTACATTTAAACATAGTAGGATTTAAATTTCTTATAAATTATAGAGAAAATATGACTATTTAGAATGCCCAATTTTGTGGATATTATTTCCTATAAGTAAAAAAAAAAAAAGATAACTAAGTAAAAATAATAGAAAAAGAAAGACAGTTATTTTATAAATGTGTTTTATTAGCTTACAGTCATCATATTTTGTATTATACTTAGAAACAAATAAATAGGTTTTCTTATGAGTAGCTCAAAATTAAATAATAAAAATAATTGCACCAAAGAAAGTTTTCGTTAAAATAAGGATTTGTATCAATCGATCGATTTTAATTAACTTTTTATTCTGTCATTTAACGTCTACATTATGTATGTAGGTTCGCATGTTCGCATTCGTTCTTAGTTTGCATGTAAAATGACGAGCTTGATGTGAATGTAGTAATTTAATTATGCTGGATATTTTATTAAACTAGGTCTTATTTTGTGGAACTCCATATCACTGGTATCAATCGATTAGAATTGATTTATTTCGCTACGCAAAAGTTTTATTAAATATATGACGTAAAAACTATTATAGTTTGAAAATGGCGCTTTCAAAATTCATAGAAAATATGGTACTATAAAATGTATCTATGGTATATCATAGATACGTACAAGAAATAGTTAAGTTTCAAATACGAATATAGACACTTAAAACTTAATCTAAAATGTTATTTGGATAATCATATACATTTATCTTAGTTACATTTGAACTTTCGCGTCGTTTTTACAGATATTTTAAATACACTATGGAGACTTAACGCTGTTGGAAACTCCAACAAAATTTAATACTGGCATAAAAACTTTTTATTATATTTTTTATTACAATAAAAAAAAATGTCATGAATGGGAGAACGAATAAAATTATATTTCTAAATTTTCTTTGGCCGTTTAAATATTTAAATTCATGTCTTAATACATGAGTACAATACAAACGCGATGCAATTACCTGTAGTAAGCAGTACCTGATACAATATGCAATACTGGGGGGGGGGGGGGAAGGGATTGTTAGTAATGGAGACTGAGAATCCCATTGCTAGCAATATACCCAACCAGTTCGACCTCCTCGCTGTTCTCTCTGGAAACTATCATGGTTAATTCCTGATGAATTCACCATGATGGGCTAACTGGCCTGTTTTCATTCTCATCTATCACCCTTCACTGGTGCTCCGCCAGCGTATCCCGTTAGCGCAGGCGGGGTTACCATTCCATTTTCACCCACAAAAAAATATCCAATACCTGATTTTTATTACCGACGTTTTGACGTGCACGAGACGTTAAGTCCCGATAGTGTATTTAAAATACATTTATCTTGTATATTACCAACATTCAATACAAGGGTTTCTCATACATACATACATAAATTCATTTCAGTTCTCATTATAAGCGTGTTTCAATGTAAGGTGGGGGATACACGAATACATTTACTATCTGAAGTCGTTCTCAATATATCACGTCTGTAAGGAGAGACGGCATAAAAAAACATTCATTTGAGTATTATTTCTTGCATTTTTCAATGGTCAACTATGTTTCTTAAAATTAATAATATTTCATAAAAAGTGACTTTAATCATAACAAACCACAATTTAAATCATTCATCATTCATGTGACAAGTCAGAAATAAATGCTACAAAATACTAAAATGTAAAAAGAATTCACAAAACAAATTTATAATTCTATTAACAAAAACTAACTGGTAAATTGAGAACTAGTTCTAGAAGTTGCATACCCAAATTAAGAAGATAGGACAAGTTTTTATTTTAAGAGCTTTTACCTTATTCAGGTATATCAGCCCTATCGTACCCTGAACTGAGTTCTCAAATAAAGTTTTATCTACTTTCCCTAGACGCGGAAAGAGAGGAATTAATGTGTATTAATAATTTACAGAGATGTTCAAAAATTTCTAATTTGGATTCAGTTAGAAGACAAGTTGTAATCCTTCGGCATCATATATTTCAATAAAAAACATTCTAACCTACAAAAATACTGAATAATTAAAAAAATACAATTCATTACTACTGAAAACAAATTATTAGAGAGCTGTTCGTGTATTCAAATTTCAATATCTATGTTCAAATACCATTATAGAAATTTTCTAGTCCAGAATTTATTTATATTTATCAAATACGAATAGCAATCGTCTGACAAATTCTGTAGAATATTCTTATAGTAATCCCCCTCTTTTATCAAAACGTTAAAGCTCTTATAAACCTATTTTAGTTATTGTTTTGTCCTTTTCTTTTGCAGTATATTCTTAATTTGAAAGAAAGGGACAGGTTTTAGTTTTTATGAATAAAGGGGGGACTCTCATTAATTATGCACGTATTTTTAGCTATATTTCTTTTTTGGAAATATTTCCAAATAAAAATGTAATAAAAACAAACCCTACATTTATGTCAAAGTAGTGTAGTGTACAAAAAAATAAATAGGAATAATTGCAAAGAATCACTGGCTATCTTTGTGATGTTAATATTTATAAACAAAAAGTTAGAAAATATGATTGCCTAAATGGACTTTGCCCATTAAGGAGCAAAAAAGCGTTATTTTAATAAATCATTACATTAATACAATAGGTTATATATCTATATATGTCGACACTAACACATTTATTTGGTCGTTATAAGGGTATAATATAATATCTAAGTTACCATCGAGTCCGTTTAGTTCGTTTGTGTTTAAGCTTGACATTTGTAGTCATGTTTGCTCAGTCCATTTCTGAAAACAAAAATGTCTCATTAAAATAAAATACTGCTTAAAATAAAAAAAAAAAGTAAATTTAACTAATTTATTTGTTCACCGTACTAGTAAAACCGCGTGGTTCCGGCATAGAATATACCACGCCTTCCTTTCCCGTGCGTGTCGTAAAAGGCGACTAAGGGAACGTAATGGTAGAGGGATGGGCAGCAGCGTCCTCAAAATATCACCAAACATTTACCAGAGGGAGACTTTGTACGAAAGTCGATTGTTTGGGTACCTCTGTCCGTGTTTCAACCGTGAAGCAGTTGTGTTTGCATAGCTATGTTTCAGTTTGAAGGGTGGGATATGGCGTGAATTTACTGGGTACAGAGGAATAACACCCGAGTCCTCAGGAATGGCAACGCATGGGGATACCCCCCATGCGTTACAACATACAACAAAAATATTATAAAGAAAGAATTGTTTGTTTGTAATGATTAAAATAAAAACTGTTCAACCCTTTTAAAAAAAAATCGTTTATAGAAAACTATCAGTCAGTAACATAGGCTACATCTTATTTAAAAATAATCGTGATTCTTACTAAAATTACAATAATGTAACTCAAAGTAAAAAAGTAAAAAATGTGTCTATTAAAGCTAATATAAAATACTAATGCACCTTTCTATCGTTCCGTGCGACGCCGGGTCGTAACACTAGTAAATAAATTAGTGATGGGACTCGAATTGATTTTCACTCGAGTGACTCGAGTAGTTTTTATATTACTTGCACTCGAGTTAAATTTTTGACAACTCGAGTTTCGAGTGACTCGAGGCGACTCGAATTACGAGTGACTCGAGTTGACTCGTACCACTCGAGTGGTTTATACCGAGCGGAGTAAGAAATTCAAATTGTGACAAGTTTACCCGCTGTAGCAGGAAACTTTTAAGAGAGAAAATTCTTCCTGATGCTTATGCCGCACGCACTATAATTGTAGATATTCAACATTTAGTTGAATATACGGCTGCTACAAAAGATTTATGGACTTCTGACAATAATAAAGCATACCTAACTATTACAATACATTTTATTTATAATTTAAAATTTGACGTAAATGATTTATGAGAGTATTTTGAAGCAAAACTTTCGGAACGTACTTCAAATTAAACATCATTAGCCTCGGCTATTATCATGACGAAACAATACAATTTTTTTTTTGAGAAAATGAAAACTCGTATTCTATGTAAAATTAATATTATTTTATTCGTTTTAAAATTTTGGTCACTCGAGTTTTATATTCCGAGTGACTCGAGTCAATAAAAATCACTCGAGTTTTATCTTCACTCGAGTCGCATTCGAGTGAGTAAGTTATCAGTACCGAGTGACTCGAGTGAAAAAAAAATCACTCGAGTCCCATCACTAAAATAAATAAACTTGATATAGTTACGTGAGCTGCGCGGCGTGCGAGGCGGCAGCGGAGGCGGAGGCGGAGGCGGAGGCGGGCGCGGGCTGCACGAGCGGCGCCAGTCGCTCCGTGAAGCGCGCGAAGTTGCGCTCCAGCTCGCGCTGGTACTCGCGCTGGTCGCTGCCGATCAGGTTCTTGTTCTTCTTCAGCGCGTCGTGGCATCTGCAGATATCGGGATTCATCTCATTCACCACATTATCTGTTCACTGCTGAACATAGGTCTCCCCCCCCCCCCCCCCATAGACTGCCAAAACGGTCCTGAGCCACCTGCATCTACTAACTTCCTGCAACCAGACTTTTGTTCCGGGAAAATAAAATAGAATGGTAATATAAGCACTATATTTTATTTTAATAGAACTTTATTTTAATAGATGTAAGAATGTACTTTAAAATTAAATGAAAAATTAACTTAAAGTTAATTTTTCATTACACACACACACATGCACACACACACACACGCGCACACGCGACGCGCACGCGCGCACGTACGCACGCACGCACGCACACACACAACACACACATATCTGTCACGCCTGTCTCCCATTAGGGTAGGCAGAAACAATAGAACGCCAAATATCTTGAATTCTGTAAAAAACACCACTTCCTCCCACTCGAAAAGCGCAGAAATATCGCTGATATTGCATATCTGATGAGGATAGCTTCCGCTGAGGTTGGTTGTCCTGAACTACTACAAAAATTAAAACTACATGTACCAATTAAGTCTAGAAGGCATAATTCAGGCAGGCGGGGTTACCATACCATTATCACCCATAAAAAAAAAAAAACTCCTTATATAGACATTTAAAAATGCTTATATTTAAGTTTACTTGATAAATAATATTTCTATTCGATTCTTACTTTTTGGAGAAATCTTTGAAGGCGAGCCTCAGTTTATTGGTGAGCCGCGTCGGAGGCTGCGTGCCGTCCGCCACGGGCCCCAGGAATACCTGTTTACATTAATATACAGTGTGAAATCGAAATCATGAACAGCAGTAAAATTAATCATACTGTATCATAAATAAACATGACTTGTTAAACGAGAAGCAATTTAAGTGTCTAAGATTTATTCTTGTCTATCCGAAGGTTGTGTCTGGAACTGACAAAACCACCCATTGTTTTTATTTCTTGTAATTTGTTTATGTCTACAATACGGTATTAGTGTAATATTTCGAAGGGAACAATAAAAATGTATCTATCTAGAATTATTATCTTGTATGTTTATATACATAAATATATACATATTTATTTTTGTATGTGTGAGTATACAAATGTGTTATTTTTTTTGATGGGTGAAAATGGTATGGTAACCCCGCCTGCGCTAACGGGATACGCTGACGGAGCACCAGTAATCGCGGTAAGATACTGACGACCATGTAGATTTGATGGTGTTGCCAAGTTTTGTTTTTATATTTAATTGAATTTTGTAATAAAGAATATGTAATTGTAAATTTAATTTATTATATTAGTTATATTATGACATTTATATGCATATAATTTGTAGTCAATGTTGTGTACGCCTGCTATGGGTATGCATATCAGCATGCTACATAAGAAATGTTATTTTAATTTATGTATAATATGTATACTATAATACTGTTGGTGTGCCTAATTCGAAATAAATAAATAAATGATAGTTTCCAGGGGGAACCGCGAGGAGGTCGACCTGGTTGGGTGTATTGCTAGCAATGGGATTCTCAGTCTCCATTACTAACAATCCATTTCCCCCCATACAAATGTGTGTGTATATGTACATATATGTATATGTTAGTATCTATACAATAGTGCGTCATCTACCCACTCAAGGGTTATTTGGAAGAGATTGCTTAAATGTTTTGTACTTATTATTTTTGTTAATGGTACAATAAAATTATTACCTCTTTCAAGGAAAGGTTAAAATCACATTTTCTTTCCCTTGAGTAATATATTTTTTTGGTATTTTTCTAATTGAACTGTCAAATCTTAAAATCATTAAACGTAAGTTTCTAATGTAAGTAGTATATTCATTTATTTTATTTAACATTTATTATATAAGTAAGTAGGTATTATATGTATTTATAGTGTATGTATTTATGTAATATTTTATTATATATTTTAATATTTTATTTAACTGTATATTTGTTTATGTATTAATAGTTGTAGCACTTCAGCTGCCCCCTAACGAAATGCTTTCTCACTGTATCGGGTTGACTGGAAGAGATCTCTGTCAGAGATAAGTCCACCCTTGCTCACAACATTTGCAAATACATTATTTTATATGTAACTTACAAGTGCAATAAAGAATATATATAAAATGTAAATAAATACCTTTTCAGATTATAAATAAAATTGGTACATATTCAAAAGGAAGAGATATACGTGCCTGAGCCAGTTCCAGCGGCCCCTGGTTGACGGTGGTCCCTATGCAGCCTTGCACGACCATCTGCAGCATCTTGGGGTCGGCCGGCTCCTGGTTGGTGGCGGCAGCTAGCTCGTTTATCTGTCACGTTATTTGTGTATTGGGTGTTAAACTGGATAGCACAAAGATTTACGCTATTTATGCATTTTTGTCAAGACTTTATTTTTTTTATACAACTTAGAATGGCAAACAAGCCGACGGCTCTCATGAGGAAAAATGGTAACCGTCGCCTATAGACATAAGCAGTACCATGGACATAAGAGTATACTGTTTCGCCCATGATACCCCCCATGCGCTGCCATTCCTGAGGACTCAGATATTATTTCTCTGTACCCTGTAAATTTACGCCATATCCCACCCTTGAAACCAAAACACAGGTATGGAAACACAACTGCTTTACGGTTGAAACATAATAAAGAATGGCAACATTGCTAATGTCTGACAATTTTAAAGACAATTCTGCATTTTTTAAATACACAATCGGGACTTAACGCGATAAAAAATCTTTTACAGGTAAATAAAGTCGACGTGGCGAAGACGCCGCTCACTTCAGTCCTGTCGTGAGCGCGACATGGTGCAATCCACATCGAAACGTCGGCAATGAAGAAGCAGGTAGATACTATTTACCTGTAAAAGCTTTTTCATCGCATTAAGTTTCGACTGTGTATTTAAATATATGTACAAACACGAAAGTTTGTAATTAATATTGTACTTTTCAATGTTTTTGTCTGATTATTTAAAAAGTGTTTTGCTATCAGACTAGAATATTAATAATAGAATATGTTGCCATATAAATATCATTATCGTTTCAGCCACTATTCGTTCACTGCTGGACATAAGCCCATCCCCATAGACTGCCAATGTTGTATCCATATGGTATTTAGGATAAAATAAGATTAAATTCATAATAAAACACAGTATTAAAATAATTGGTGTGCGCGGGTGGCGTACCTTCTTCTGTATGTCCTCGATGGCGACCTCTAGCGGCGAGAGCACGAGGTGCGCGCGCTGCACGACGTGCAGGCGCGTCTTGAGGTAGGGGAAGTGCTGCGCCGTCGTGAGCACGGTCTTGCGCTTGCACTGCTCGGCCAGCGAGCCGTGCGCGCGCCCGCCCGCCGTAAACGGCGTCGCGAACATGAACCGCTCTGCGCACGCGCATACACATACACATACACATACACATACACATACACTCACTCTGCACTGCTCGGCCAGCGAGCCGTGCGCGCGCCCGCCCGCCGTGAACGGCGTCGCGAACATGAACCGCTCTGCGCACGCGCATACACATACACATACACATACACTCACTCACTCACTCTGCACTGCTCGGCCAGCGAGCCGTGCGCGCGCCCGCCCGCCGTGAACGGCGTCGCGAACATGAACCGCTCTGTGCACGCGCATACACATACACATACACATACACATACACATACACTCACTCTGCACTGCTCGGCCAGCGAGCCGTGCGCGCGCCCGCCCGCCGTGAACGGCGTCGCGAACATGAACCGCTCTGTGCACGCGCATACACAAACACATACACATACACTCACTCTGCACTGCTCGGCCAGCGAGCCGTGCGCGCGCCCGCCCGCCGTGAACGGCGTCGCGAACATGAACCGCTCTGCGCACGCGCATACACATACACATACACATACACTCACTCTGCACTGCTCGGCCAGCGAGCCGTGCGCGCGCCCGCCCGCCGTGAACGGCGTCGCGAACATGAACCGCTCTGCGCACGCGCATACACATACACATACACTCACTCTGCACTGTTGGACTTCGAGCCGCCCAAAAAGTACGGAAGCATAACACCATAATCCTCAGAAATGGCAAAACACGATGGGTGTCTTGAGCACCACAGCGCATTCTGTTTTTTTTTTATTCAACTTAGAATGACAAACAAGCTGACGGCCCATTTGATGGAAAGTGGTAGCCGTCGCCTATAGACATGAGCAGTACCATGGACATAACAGAGTATACTGTTTCACCCATGATGCCCCCCATGCGTTGCCATTCCTAAGGACTCAGGTGTTATTCCTCTGAATATTCATGGTACTATTCATATTTATAAACAACAGTTACCACTTTTCATAAATCCCTTTGCGATATTCAATCGCATATTGATATTGCATTTCAATATCTGGTATATTAGAATAGAATGTATGATACATACATCAAGTTTGGTATTGCCCACACCAGGTTGAATATCTATCATCATTTCAACTATTATCCGTCCACTGCTGGACATAGGCCTCTCCCATAGACTGCCGGTGTGGTACAAATATGGTAACATTCTCTCCAATTTAAATTGAATATTTATATTTTTAATAAAAAAAAAAGTCTACCAAGTCCAATATATCTGTGCATTTGGGTTCTTCAGTCATATATTGGTCAGCCGATATCTAAATACCATATTATACAAATCAATATATATATATTCATTCAGGGTAAATAAATAGATATCGTATCTATATAACGATACATATCGGTGATGTGCACTAAATTAATGAAGTGAATACGAATGCTGACTGCGACTGACTTATGTTGTAGTTGCGCTCGTAGTGCGTGGCGCGCTTGCGCAGCTCGTGCGGCTCGAAGTACGGCTCCACGTACGTGATCTGTATGTACGCCTTGCCCGGGTCCAGCGTGCTCGTGTCCACCGTGTTCGAGTCCTTTATTATCACCACGTTCTCCGGCCCGAAACGTTGCCCGTAGAAGTTCTGTGAACACACATAATACAAATACGTTATCATAATTGTTATAGTATTACCATTTTATGTTTCGACATCATCATTTCAGCCATTATCCGTCCACTGCTGGACATAGACCTCTTCCATAGACTGCCGATGTGGTACAAATATGGTATCATCACTACATAATATAAAATAAAGTCGCTGTCGCTGTCTGTCCGTCCCTATGTATGCTTAAATCTACGCAACGGATTTTGATAAATTTTGATAATAATATAGTAGATAATAAAAATATACCCGAGGGAGACTTTGTACAAAAGTCGATTGCTTGGGTACCTCTGTCCCATTCGTGTTTCAACCGTGAAGCAGTTGTGTTTGCATAGCTGTGTTTCGGTTTGAAGGGTGGGATATGGCGTGAATTTACTGGGTACAGAGGAATAACACCTGAGTCCTCAGGAATGGCAACGCATGGGGGGTATCATGGGCGAAACAGTATACTCTGTTATGTCCATAGTACTGCTCATGTCTATAGGCGACGGTTACCACTTTCCATCAGGTGGGCCGTCAGCTTGTTTGCCATTCTAAGATGTATAAAAAAAAAGTAGAGAATCACTGATAATTTTAAAGGTTTCTAATGTGATGTGATGTAATGTGCACCCGTGCGAAGCCGGGGCGGGTCGCTAGTTTAGAATAAAATAAGATTAAAATAATACAGAACTCAACAGATTTTTTTTTTGATAGATGATAATGGAATGGTAACCTCGTCTGCTAACGGTATACACTGACAGGACTCCAGTGAGAGATGACAGGTGAGAATGTAAAAGCAGGCCAGTTAGCCCATCGTGATGAATGCACCTGGAATTCAGTGCAAAGGTGTCCAGGGGGGACAACGTGGAATTCGACGTGACAGGGTATATTGCTAGCAAAGCTAAAAATCAATCGAGTCATAATTTGAAAATTTGCTGACAAAAAGTTGACACGTTTCTGAGGCTCGATGGTGTATGTATATAAAGGTTTTTTTTTCTTTACAACACAGGGGGCAAACGAGCATGCGGCTCACCTGATGGTAAGTGACTACCGCTGCCCATGATCACCCGCAACACCAACGGCATTGCAGGTGTGCTGCCGGCCTTTTAAAAAGGAATATGCACTTTTCTTAAAGGTTATGAGTTGAGGGTAGTGGGTACCTCGAGGCGGCTGAATATCTCGGGCAGCTTGGTGAGCGCGTGCTCCTTGTAGACGAATTCCTCGCCGTCCAGGTCGCCGAAGCGGCTGCCGTAGAACGACACGCGGAAGTACGTGCCGAACACGCGCTTGCCGTGCAGCTGGTCGATGCGGGTGAACGCCTCGTTCAGCTTGCTGCAGTGCATCATCATCGTTATTATTAAATAGGCTTTATAATAGGAACTATCTTACTTAAATGTATGGCATGGTAAGCCCGCCCGCGCGGGGGGAAGGGATTTTTTTTTATGCGTGAAAATGGCATGGTAACCCCGCCTGCGCCATCGGTATACATTGGTAAGGCACCAGTGATAGAAAATAGGTGAGGATAAAAGCAGGTCAGTTAGCCCATCGTGACAAATCCACAAGAATTAACCACGATGGTTTCCAGGGGGAACCGCGTGGAGATCGACCTGATAGGGTGTATTGATAACAATGGGGACTAAACTCCCCATGACTAACAATCCCTTCCCCCGGGGGGATTGCTAGGGTCTAGCTACCTTGCTAGTAATATGCCCTATTAGGTTGACCTCTATTAGGTTTATATTAGTATTATATTAGGTTGGCAGGCGGGTTGGCGGGTTGGTTGGTTTACTTCTAAACATGGCTACCAAGGAGGTAACTAATACAAGGTTTTATTTAAATTTCGAACTGGTTTATAAATAGAAAGCTGTTTATTGAAATATATAAAAAAATAAAGGAACATTATGGCGCGTGAAAAATTATTATTGTTCGTTATTCGTTATTGAACTTAAAAAGTAAAATTGTGTTTTTGATTTCCGCGCATTGTTTGAGAAAAGTACTAACAAGCCTTGGCCACAACTAGGCATTGATGGACTCACGTATGTGTGCCTCGGCAACACCTCGACCCACATTTTTACGTTCGTCCATCAATGCCTCAGTTGCTGGCCGCTGCAGTAATGTACTATTTTCTCAGATACATGCGGGCAGCGGCTGGCAAAAGTTGTATGAAAATCGCATATCTGTCGTGTTTTGCGGCCAGATAAATTACTATGTAAGCTCATATCTGTCCTGTAATTTAAAAATGGAATGACCTTTTACTTTGAAACATGGCTACCAAAGAAGTAACTAATAAAAGGTTTTATTAAAATTTCGAACTGGTTTGCAAATAGAAGCTGTTTATTGAAAAAAAAAAAAAAACAAAGGAACATTATGGCGCGTGAAAAATTATTATTGTTCGTTATTCGTTATTGAACTTAAAAAGTAAAATTGTGTTTTTGATTTCCGCGCATTGTTTGAGAAAAGTACTATACAAGCCTTGGCCACAACTAGGCATTGATGGACTCACGTATGTGTGCCTTGGCTATGCCTCGGCCTACATTTGCACGGTCGTCCATCAATGCCTTCTAAAACATCAAACTAACTATACCTATGTTTACGTAAATAAATGATTGAAACAAGAGAATAAATTCAGAGTACCCAAAGGTTAATTCTTATTTTTTTCTTGTTTACACTTTCTTTACAATTTTCAATTTTTTACAATTTCTAATGCAGTACATGGAAAGTCTCGTACTTGTGTATGTTGGCGAGTTTCTTGTAGTCGCGGTGCTCCTCCGCGATGGGTATGAGCACCTTGTACACTTCGTTGACCGCCTCATACATGCCGGCTGTCATCAGCTCGCTCGCCGCGTGCTCCAGCAGCGCCTGCGCACAACATACCTCGTACATTGCCATTACCAACTTATTTCATCTTACAATTCTATATATGTTTTTTAGAATAAGTAGACAATTTTTAGCTTTGGTGAAATAAATTATATTCTCTCGTCGAGCGCGTTGTGCGTGACGCGCTGCAGCAGGCGGCAGGCGGCAGGCGGCAGGCGGCAGGCGGCAGGCGGCAGGCGGCAGGCGGCAGGCGGCAGGCGGCGGCTGCAGCGCTGCCGGGGGCGGTACCTGCAGCTCGAGGTGCGTGAGGTGGTGGTGCAGCGTGTCGGCGCAGCTCTCGTCGAGCGCGTTGTGCGTGACGCGCTGCAGCAGGCGGCAGGCGGCAGGCGGCAGGCGGCAGGCGGCAGGCGGCAGGCGGCAGGCGGCAGGCGGCGGCTGCAGCGCTGCCGGGGGCGGTACCTGCAGCTCGAGGTGCGTGAGGTGGTGGTGCAGCGTGTCGGCGCAGCTCTCGTCGAGCGCGTTGTGCGTGACGCGCTGCAGCAGGCGGCAGGCGGCAGGCGGCAGGCGGCAGGCGGCAGGCGGCAGGCGGCAGGCGGCGGCTGCAGCGCTGCCGGGGGCGGTACCTGCAGCTCGAGGTGCGTGAGGTGGTGGTGCAGCGTGTCGGCGCAGCTCTCGTCGAGCGCGTTGTGCGTGACGCGCTGCAGCAGGCGGCAGGCGGCAGGCGGCAGGCGGCAGGCGGCAGGCGGCAGGCGGCAGGCGGCAGGCCGGGGCAGGCGGTACCTGCAGGTGCGCAGCGTGTCGGCGCAGCTCTCGTCGAGCGCGTTGTGCGTGACGCGCTGCAGCAGGCGGCAGGCGGCAGGCGGCAGGCGGCAGGCGGCGGCTGCAGCCTTAGGTGCAGCGTGTCGGCGCAGCTCTCGTCGAGCGCGTTGCACGCGCTGCAGCAGGCGGCAGGCGGCAGGCGGCAGGCGGCAGGCAGGCGGCGAGGTGCGTATGTGTCGGCGCAGCTCTCGTCGAGCGCGTTGTGCGTGACGCGCTGCAGCAGGCGGCAGGCGGCAGGCGGCAGGCGGCAGGCGGCAGGCGGCAGGCGGCAGGCGGCAGGCGGCGGCTGCAGCGCTGCCGGGGGCGGTTGCAGCTCGAGGTGCGTGAGGTGGTGGTGCAGCGTGTCGGCGCAGCTCTCGTCGAGCGCGTTGTGCGTGACGCGCTGCAGCAGGCGGCAGGCGGCAGGCGGCAGGCGGCAGGCGGCAGGCGGCAGGCGGCAGGCGGCGGCTGCAGCGCTGCCGGGGGCGGTACCTGCAGCTCGAGGTGCGTGAGGTGGTGGTGCAGCGTGTCGGCGCAGCTCTCGTCGAGCGCGTTGTGCTGACGCGCTGCAGCAGGCGGCAGGCGGCAGGCGGCAGGCGGCAGGCGGCAGGCGGCAGGCGGCAGGCGGCGGCGGCTCGAGCGCGTTGTGCGTGACGCGCTGCCGGGGGCGGTACCTGCAGCTCGAGGTGCGTGAGGTGGTGGTGCAGCGCTCTCGTCGAGCGCGGCGCGCTGCAGCAGGCAGGCGGCAGGCGGCAGGCGGCAGGCGGCAGGCGGCAGGCGGCGGCTGCAGCGCTGCCGGGGGCGGTACCTGCAGCTCGAGGTGCGTGAGGTGGTGGTGCAGCGTGTCGGCGCAGCTCTCGTCGAGCGCGTTGTGCGTGACGCGCTGCAGCAGGCGGCAGGCGGCAGGCGGCAGGCGGCAGGCGGCAGGCGGCAGGCGGCAGGCGGCGGCTGCAGCGCTGCCGGGGGCGGTACCTGCAGCTCGAGGTGCGTGAGGTGGTGGTGCAGCGTGTCGGCGCAGCTCTCGTCGAGCGCGTCGCGCGCAGCAGGCGGCAGGCGGCAGGCGGCAGGCGGCAGGCTCGTCGGTGGTGCAGCGGCGTTGTGCGCTGCAGCAGGCGGCAGGCGGCACGCAGCTGCAGGCGGCAGGTGCAGGCGGCAGGCGTGAGGTGGTGGTGCAGCGTGTCGGCAGGCGGCAGGCGGCAGGCGGCGGCGGCAGGCGGCTGCAGGCGGCAGGGGCGGGGGGCGGTACCTGCAGCTCGAGGTGCGTGAGGTGGTGGTGCAGCGTGTCGGCGCAGCAGCGTGTCGGCGCAGGTCGTGCGTGACTCGTCGAGCGCGTTGTGCGGTGACGCGCTGCAGCAGGCGGCAGGCGGCGCTCTCGTCGGCACGCGCGGCAGGCGGCAGGCGGCAGGCGGCAGGCGGCAGGCGGCAGGCGGCGGCGGCTGCAGCGCTGCCGGGGGCGGTCAGCTCGAGGTGCGCAGCGTGTCGGCGCAGCTCTCGTCGAGCGCGTTGTGCGTGACGCGCTGCAGCAGGCGGCAGGCGGCAGGCGGCAGGCGGCAGGCGGCAGGCGGCAGGCGGCAGGCGGCGGCTGCAGCGCTGCCGGGGGCGGTACCTGCAGCTCGAGGTGCGTGAGGTGGTGGTGCAGCGTGTCGGCGCAGCTCTCGTCGAGCGCGTTGTGCGTGACGCGCTGCAGCAGGCGGCAGGCGGCAGGCGGCAGGCGGCAGGCGGCGGCTGCAGGCTGCCGGGGGCGGTACCTGCAGCTCGAGGTGCGTGAGGTGGTGGTGCATCGGCGCAGCCTTGCAGCGTGTCGGCGCAGCTCTCGTCGAGCGCGTTGTGCGTGACGCGCTGCAGCAGGCGGCAGGCGGCAGGCGGCAGGCGGCAGGCGGCAGGCGGCAGGCGGCAGGCGGCAGCAGCGCTGCCGCCTGCAGCTCGAGGTGCGTGAGGTGGTGGTGCAGCGTGTCGGCGCAGCTCTCGTCGAGCGCGTTGTGCGTGACGCGCTGCAGGCGGCAGGCGGCAGGCGGCAGGCGGCGGCTGCAGCGCTGCCGGGGGCGGTACCTGCAGCTCGAGGTGCGTGAGGTGGTGGTGCAGCGTGTCAAGCGGTTGTGCGTACGCGCTGCAGGCGGCAGGCGGCAAAAGGCGGCAGGCGTTATGGTTGTCGGCGCAGCTCTCGTCGAGCGCGTTGTGCGTGACGCGCTGCAGCGCGGCAGGCGGCAGGCGGCAGGCGGCATTCGAGGTGCAAGCGTTGCGTGACGCGCTGCAGCAGGCGGCAGGCGGCAGGCGGCAGGCGGCAGGCGGCAGGCGGCAGGCTTTAGCGCGTTGTGCGTGACGCGCTGCAGCAGGGCGGCGCCGCGGCCGCCGGCGCCCAGCTGCTCGGCCACCAGCGCTGCACCGTGCACCAGGCACATGCCCGCCTCCGCGTGGTTCGACCGCTGACACGACACAATACAAAATTACATATATTTTTTAAAGAATTCCTCATCAAGTCTTTGGGGCCTCATTTACTGCTTGCATAGAGTGAAACACATATCGGGCATTTTAAAGATACGTCGGCATAAAAAATCGTTGATGAAAATTTTTACGGACGTGTTTTTGAGTTTAAGGGAGTTCTTGATTACGCCAATTTACTGTACAATTTTCAAAATTCATAATTTCTATATTACGTGTATAAACATCCTCCGAAAACGTTTTATTTTGATTATAATATAAACTCTTAAATACAGTAGAGACGGTCGTTACCTCCATATGTTTCTGCGCCATATTATTGAGCCACGTGAGCCTCAGATCGGGGCTGTGTTGGTAGCCGCGCGCGATCCGGTACATCAAGTCGAGCAGCATCTCCGGATCCTCTTGGAACTCCTTCATTTTCACCGTATCAGAGAGGATCATGTGCAGGTTGAATACGAGATCCTTTACCTGGGCAGAAATAGGAGACAGGTTTATAAAGTGCCAGAGTTTCTTTTATCTAGAAATTATGAAATAGGTATCAAAATATCAATATAACCCAGCCTCTAATGACTTGTCATTTGAGGTTTTAGTTCAGACAGATTAGGAAAATAAAAAAAATATGAAACCATTGTTTTCACCATTATACTTACTTGCTCTGGGAAAGAAGTGTCTTGCAGGTCGGTATCGTGCTCGGCATACACGAGGATGGTTTTGAGGGCACGTCGCAGCGACTCCTCGCTGAAGGTGGTAGATGTGCCGACCAGGGATGAGAGTGACATTGTCACTTGCATCTTTACACGGCTGAAGTTCTGCACGAAGTACAATCAAATATTACTACACGATTGTCCAAAAAAACAAGGGTAATGTTTTCAGAGATCATGCATAAGAGTTCTACTAAAGCTTGAACAGTTTCAGATGTATGAAGTATCGTTAGAAATTTTACGTTATCCCCAGTGAAAGCAGCTATATATTTTGTAAATCGACTTATTTCTAGCAGTGAAATTGTTTTAACTGATGAACCAAAACGTACTTATTTTAAATACAAAATCGAGATTCAACGCGATGTAAAAGCCTTTACAGTGACCACGACGTGGTGCAATCAACGTCGAAACGTCGCCAATAAAGAAGTATGTATGTAGGTACTAGTCACCGGTAAAGGCTTCTACATCGTGTTAAGTTCCGATTGTGTTTTTAAAATATGTGTAAACAATGAAAATTTTAAAATTACCAAAATGTACTGTTTTAATGGGTGAAAATGGCATGGTAATCCCGCCTGCGCTATCGGTATGCCCTGGCGGGGTACCAGTGAGAGGTAAGAGGTGAGGATGAAAAGGCAGGTCAGTTAGCTCACGTGACGAAATCAACGATAAACTAGTCACGATAGTTTCCAGGAGGAACCGCGTGGAGGTCGTACTGATGGGGTACATTGATAGCAATCCCCCAACAAAATGCACTTGTTCAGACAGAGTAACAATGTGTGATAATGTGGATAGCATTTCAAGGCTAGTAATAGTTTGCAGGCGTGACTCACGTTGCCGAGCTGGTAGTGCTGGCGCATGAGCGCGTAGAGCGCGGCGGCGGCGTGCGCGCGCGGCGGCGCGGCGGGCGCGGCGCAGTGCCGCAGCAGCACGCGGCACGTGCCCGACTCCTCGCCGCAGCACGACCAGCCCAGCTGCCGACAGACCACGTCAGTCACGGCACACGTATACATTATTGTTCCACTCCTCCAATTACACAATTTCTAACCATGATTAATCGCTAAATAATCAACATTGGATCTGGATTTGAATTTACATGGAAGTCAGTGTAAGGTCCTTTATGGAAGTCAGTGTAAGGTCAGTAAAATTTAATTAAAATTATTTTCTTGATTAATTTATGTTTCTTTATTTCGATGGTTTATGGGAAGCTGCTATAAAATCCTTCAAACAACACTTGAAAAGGGTTCTTTAACAGGGTCATTAGTTAGAAGAGTTTTAAACTTTGTTTTATTCAAGTATGAAATTTCCATATAAAATTTTCCATCGACTATTTACGCATCTTTCGAACAAGCTCATCCCAAATCATAGCCCAAAGCAAAGGCGTCACCAATGTTTTAAATATAATATAAACATTTGCGAGTAGAGCTTACACTTACCTTGAGTATGAGCGCGCGTACAGATGCAAACATGTGTTGCAGCACGGTAGTACTTTGATTACGCTGCAGGGCACGTAGCAACACTTGCAAGGCTGCACTGCACACGCTCTGCCCACACTCCAGGCTGCTGCACGTCTGCGCGAAGACCATCACAAAGAAATAAATGGTTACAAATTGAAGAATAGCAATCGCTAACGCAAGAATGTACGCGTAATCCACTATTTCGGGGAATATAACTACGTACACTGCTGAACATAGGCTTCCCTCACAAGGGGGTTTCTGCCAGTCATGCCATACTTTACAGGCTTTTTTAAATTTAATCAGAGGAAATACCTGAATAACGTCAGAAGGTAACCCATTAAATATTCTTTGTGTCATAAATGAGACGTTATTTTTTTATACAGCGTCAATGAACTTTTTGGGACAAGTAGTTTATTTATTCTCTGTGTCTTGACTTGTGCCTTTATGTCCCCATGTGTTATGAATAGCCATGGGCATTTGGGAGACACCGCTCTATGGTTTTTTTTTTTTAATGGGTGAAAATGGTGTGGTAACCCCGCCTGCGCTAACAGGATACTCTGGCGGGGCACCAGTGAAGGAAGAGATGAGAATGAAAACAGGCCAGTTAGCCCATCATGATGAATTCATCAGGAATTATCCATGATAGTTTCCAGGGAGAACCGCGAGGAGGTCGACCTGGTTGGGTATATTGCTAGCAATGGGATTCTCAGTCTCCATTACTAACAATCTTTTTCCTCCCACCGCTCTATGGTTAGTGTCGTTCCCGCCAGGCGGTGGCGGCGGTACCTGCACGATGGTCTCGAGCGCGTGCAGCAGCGTGAGCGCGACCTCGGCGGCGAGTGCGGCGGCCAGGTCGGCGGGCGGCCGCGGCGCCGCGCCGCCGCCCGCCTCGCGAGCGCCGCCACGAACCCATTCCTTGCGCCAGCGCTCGCGCCGGCATCCGCCTGACAACGGAATCGCTTTGTTTTTTTACACAACTTAGAATGGCAAACAATCTGACGGTCCACCTGATGGAAAGTGGTAACCGTCGCCAATACACATGAGCAGTACCATGGACATAACAGAGTATACTGTTACGCCCATGACACCCCTCATACGTTGCCATTCCTGAGGACTCGGGTGTTATTCCTCTGTACCCAGTAAATTCACGCCATATCCCACCCTTCAAACCGAAAAACAGTCATGCAAACACAACTGCTTCAAGGTTGAAACACGAATAGGGCAGAGGTACCCAAGCAATCGACTTTTGTACAAAGTCTCTCGTTCACAATCTATTTATTAGTGTGGTCCATTCTGAGGTGCCATTCCTTTAAACAGTATACTCTATTACATCCATGGTACTGCTCATGTCTGTTGTACATTTATTATTGTTATTATCTATGCTTTGCTTGAGCGAGGGCAACACTAGGGAGGCGGCTATGTTGTAGAGAATAAAAGCAGCCGTCAAAAGTACGACCCGGTCTTTTACTGATATTTCAGTAGTAATATAGTGAACCCGAATACATATTCAAAAATGTCTACAGGCGACGGTTACCACTTTTCATCAAGTGGGCCGTCAGCTTGTTTTTATTTGATATTTTAATTTGGATATTACAACGAAATTTTGATTAAAAATTAATTTTGTTTATATTTGTTAATTTTGTTTATATTTGTTTAATTTTGTTTAATTTAGTATTTTATTTTGTGCAAATTCTATTGGCTACCAAATTACTATTTAAGTATATAATTATGTATTATTTTAGCTGTTTGTTTGCCTTAAATAAATAAATAAATCTCTATTGAAAGCATCAATATGTATTTTCACCAATAAGTAACATTGTAACAGATTTATGTTACAATTATTATAATTTTAATATATGACGGTCCGTAAAACAGTAATTTAAAGGAAGGACACCTTAGAATCGGCCCCAGTATTGCATTTATTAATTCTAATTCGCTGCAACGATTCTTATTACATATCATCCCAAAAAAATTTTTTTTAAACAAAATATGAGTGTCCTTGTTTGAGCGAACGTTGACTCAAGATATTTTAAAATTTATTATTTGATTTCAACACTATAATTACTTACATCGTAAAGCAATATTTCTATTGAAAGTATATTATTAAGAAACAATGATCGTAATTATTATTATACTATTTTACGTTACATTATCGATCATAGACTAAAATAATGCACATTCATAGATTATAAATCATATACATAAATTTTATGAAATACCTTTACGCCTCATGATAAAGTCATTCCGTGCCGACCCTTGGCCGAGTATGACGTCCTCGAGCTTGGATTTTATGTCTGTAGTCTTTCGTACATTCTGCTGAGCACACTTCATGATCTCCTTTCGGCCCTTTAAACATCAAATTGCTAATATAAACGCATTATCTATTAAGAAATATAAGGTGGTCACGGTGTAAAAAAATGGATTTCAAAGTGGCAGTATATTGGATTGTAAAAAACTACGATTTTTTTCTTTTTTCGGTCGTCCCCGATCCTTTGGTCACCTGTATGTCTTTCAAAGGTATTATTAATATTTATATTACTTGTTATTGTTACAGTTACTGTTCTCTGTTTAAAATGGTTTAATAGCAAATTATTCAAATGGTTGACTTATAAATATAATAATAATAAAACTATTAACAAATACAGGGTTACACTGTTACATATTTTTTGCCCTAGCTTACAAATTAGGGTAACCTGTGCCTTGTAAGCCAGTTCCTTCCAACACACAAGACCTAATACTTTATATTTGTACATGCAGAATTAACAATATTAAGCTACAAACATAATAAACATGATGAAAAATAAGGAAAAAATAAGAAATTATTGTTTAACTAGAAGTCAAATGTTTTATTCCATTAATGATAACTTTAAATTTAAAATGAATGACATATTTTAATGAATTTTTCCAATTTAATTTATTAATGCACTTATTAAAATGAATAAAATGTTAATGCATAATATAATAAACTGTCAATTGATAAATAAATATAAGACAAATATAATTTTATGAGTTATATATATAAAAATATTGCGTGCCAAACTGGCTGATCGTGCGAGCCTATCGTCATTGATTCTATCTTATTATGTTCGACATTCCCAGCAAATAAATATAATTAGAATTGTATCGGTTGGTCCCCTTTTTTTTTTGATGGATGATAATGGAATGGTACCCTCGCCAGCGCTATCGGTATACACCGGCGGGGCACCAGTGAGGGATGATAGGTGAGGATGAAAAAGCAGATCAGTTAGCCCATCGTGATGAATTCAATGATAAATTAGTCATGATGGATTCCAGGGGGAACCGCGTGGAGGTTGATATATATTTTTTATACAGCTTAGAATGGTAAACAAGCTGACGACCTACCCGATGGAAAGTGGCAATCGTCGCCTATAGACATGAGCAGTACCATGGACATAACAGAGTATACTGTTTCGCCCATGATACCCCCCATGCGTTGCCATTCTTGAGGACTCAGATGTTATTTCTCTGTACCCTGTAAATTCACTTTCACATCCCACCGTTCAAACTGAAATACAGCAGTGCAAACACAACTGGTTCACAGTTAAAACACGGACAGAGGTGTCCAAGCAAACGACTTTTGTACAAAGTCTCCCTTTGGCAAAAGGTATTGAATTACTATCATTCTCTATTACTAACAATCCCATCCCCGCTGTTGGTCCCGTGGGCTACTAGTACCTTTTTTTTTAATGTCTGGAAAATGCTTTATGCAGACCCATACACCTTGTGGGGGGTGAATAGGTACTGTGGGAATCCCCCCATAAGGTGGGAGTGTACCCACCAAAAACCCGACGATATACCCTCGACGTGCCATATGTCGGAGATATGGGTTCGCTTTCGCATTTACCACATCTCCGACGGCAGCGACCCGCCCCCTGATGGTAAGAGCAGGTCTCCTCTCTCAAGATAGGGTGGCTGGCGTGCTCACCCTACCAGTCGGGGGATGCGCCGGTATACTAGCACATCCCCCAGGGAGAGCTAATAGCTGCTAGTACCTTGTACTCGTGGCAGCGGAAGCCGAGGTCGAGCAGCGCCAGCAGCGCCCGCAGGCGGCGCGGCGGCAGCTCGGCCACGGCGGCCGCCAGCGCGCCGCGCTCCGTGCTCTTCAGCAGCCACACCAGGCACATCACCAGGTTGCGGCTCGTCTCGCTGTTCAGCGGCGCGCGCCCGGCCTGCAACAATGCACTGCTTGAATCAACGAGTACACTTTATTTGCATTATACAATGTAGGAAATAGGCAACACAATTTACAAACACAACGATACAATTGTATAAGTACAGTGAGGCGGTCTTATTGCTGAGAGCAATCTTTTCAAGACAATCTAAGGTAATGGACTAATTGTTAATATATATATATATATATATATATATATATATATACATGTTTGAAAGAGATTTCATGAAATTTCATTGGTTTTCATGAAATCCGGAGCTAGTTACAAAGAAATGAGATGAGCTAAGAAAGTCGATTAAAGTAAGCGGCATATTAGAACGATCAGATGTTCGGAGATCACGTGCTGGTCAGTAAAATATTGCATTAATGCAGACGAAGTCGTGGATAAAAGCTAGTTATATAATTTGAAACAAACCGCGAAAGATCGGCTGTTGCCACGCCTGGCAGATGGATGGATGGCAACCGTCATTAGGTTTTAGAGATGTTTTAAAAAGAACGCTGGTGTCCATCTTTCGCCCTCCCTTAGTCGCTTCTTACGACACCCATGGAAAAGGAAGGGATGGCAAATTTTATGTTGGGACCTAGGGACCTAAGGGATGATCATTGGCGTATTTTCAGTCCATGAAATGGGAGGATCATGTACAGTTTAAAGCAACAGGTAAAAATTGTTGAATACGACTGACCTGCTTGACCTCTGCTTTTGTGGGTGGCGTTGAGTAAAAATTCTCAAATTGACTGATCTCGCTGTCAAATTGTAGTATGTCTGTAACAAAGAAATATAATAAATAACACAATCTTTCACCATCATTTTTATTCAAATGGACTTGTTTATAATCATTTTTAAATTGACATTTTTTTAATCCACTGTTACATCTATCTTGCATGGGAAATGTAAGATCTTTGATATAAACTAAAAATAGGAATGGCCCCAGGATAGACCCTTGAGGTACATCCATTCGCAGCAGCGGCCTGTTAGATACCTTATTATTTAATTCAACGACAATTGATAATGAAAGCTGTACTGCGTATGTGTATTATCATTCAGTTTGGAAATACATCTTATGTAAACTGAAGTGTTTGTGCAGTGTGGAGGAAGAGAGGGGTGCGTGTTTGTGTACATGTGTGTGCGCGCGTGTGTTTATGTGCATATTGTTAGAGTAGATAACCTCAATGGTAAAAATATTAATTCTTTTTATTATTGACAGTCTACTGAAGTTGGCTAGTCTACTAATAAAAAACTTGAAGACCGATCTCTTTTTTCTGTTGTATATTATTTTATTTAGCTTTGTCCAACACATATATGTGTGTGCGTGCGCGAGCACTTGTTTGCGCGTGTGTGTACGCGTGCGTGCGTTTGTATGCGTGCGTGCGTGTGTACGCGTGCGTGCGTGCGTGCGTGTGCACGCGTGTGCATGCGTGCGTGCGCGTGTGTAGTGCGTGTGCGTGTGGCGGCGTACCGTGGTGCGGCGCGGGCCCGCGGTGCAGGTGCGGCTGCGCGTCCAGCAGCAGGCCGAGCAGCGGCGCGTAGAGCGCGGCGAGGCGCGCGCGCGCCTCCGCGCCGCCCAGCCGCGGGTCCGCGTCGTGCGCCGCCAGCTGCGCCAGCGCCGCGCCCGCCGCGCTCGCCTGCAGCGCCGGGCTCCTGCACACCACCACCACCGCCACCACTCGTTACGCTTTTTACCTTTCACTTGCAATCGTAAACGAGTGATTTACCCACGTCTAAGATAACAATAGTCGTCACGTATACACATGGACAGGATGAAGCAAACTATTCTGTTTCTATTCATATGTGGAACTCTTTCTTTGATATCAAATAATTATAATTATTTGAAAAATGATTTCTACAAATGGTCTTAAACAATAATAGTGCTACACATTTCGCCTCAGTAATTTTTAGTGTTAAAACTACTGTGAATGGTCTTTTACTTCGAGCTACCAAGGAGGTAACTAATAAAAGGTTTTATTTAAATTTCGAACTGATTTACAAATAGAAAACTGTTTATTGAAAAAAATAAAAAAACAAAAGAACATTATGGCGCGTGAAAAATTATTATTGTTCATTATTCGTCATTGAACTCAAAAAGTAAAATTGTGTTTTTGATTTCCGCGCATTGTTTGAGAAAAGTACTATACGAGCCTTGGCCACAACTAGGCATTGATGGACTTACGTATGTGTGTCTCGGCTACGCCTCGGCCCACATTTGCACGTTCGTCCATCAATGCCTCAGTTGCTGACCGCTGCAGTAATGTACTATAAATACATCCTAGAAACAGGGTTGCTGTAATAAATAAATGTAACTAATTAAAAAAAAAAAGGGGGGGTACTGACTGCAACTCGAGTGCGTTAGCGAGCTCGGTAAGCAGCAGGCCGGCGAGGTAGTGCCGCGAGCGGAACTCGTGGCTGAGCTGGTGGTGCGGAGCGCTAGAATGCGACGCGAGCGAGTGCGACGACGGCGCCGGCGACACTGAGCCGCTGCCAGCGCCGCCCGCCCCTCCCACCCCTCCCGCCGCCACCGGCAGGTTCAGCGACACGTAGTGCTCGTGCGAGCAGATTATACGCAGGAACGCGAGCTGCACAACGATTCCAAATTTAAAATTCCCGCCACTGACAATCAGCGTCATATTCGATAGAACATGGCGTATAGCTGAGGGATATCATTTTAGTGCTTTTACTTTGTGTTTATTTTTGTTTATTGTTAAATGTTTTTTTATGTGTGAAATTAAGCAATAAATAAATATTTCTTTCAAAAATTCATTCTTGATAGAGTAAGACTAAGATAGAAAAATAAACTTGTATAAGCATATATTATGTGGGTATTACGAGTATAAGATATGTTGGTATGCCACAATGTCATCAGTGTCATTCATTCCTTGAATAAATGCTAAAGGTATAGATGTCATTCATTGCTATTCTTTCTTAAAATTCTCCAGTAGCTGTATCAAACAAGACAGTATAAAACTATTTTCATAAATATAAGTACAGTTAAAAATTGGATTTTGTATTTTTTTTTATACAACTTAGAATGACAAACAAGCTGACAGCCCACCTGATGTAAAATGGTAACCGTCGCCTATAGACATGAGCAGTACCATGGACATAACAGAGTATACTGTTTCGCCCATGATACCCCCCATGCGTTGCCATTCCTTAGGACTCAGGTGTTATTCCTCTGTACCCAGTAAATTCACGCCATATCCCACCCTTCAAACTGAAACACAGCCATGCAAACACAACTGCTTCACGGTTGAAACACGAAAGGGACAGAGGTACCTAAGCAATCGACTTTTGTACAAAGTGTCCCTCTGGTATTCTGTATATACCAGATATAATATACCATAGGATTTTGTTTCGAGTTTTCCTTCTTTTATTTCTATATCACTGTATGTGTTTATTTAGCAGCCTATTACGACATTCCAAGGTTGAATATTATTAGTAAATTATTTAAATTATTTGCTATACAACACGTACCTTGTACTGTACGAGCGGCACTGCGTCCGGTAGGGAAGCTATCTTCGCACACATTTGCTTGTAGTAGCTTCGGATCAGGTTGAACACGTACCCACGGTCCATAATGCTCAGCAGATCGAACAAGAAGAATGCCAAGCTATTGTTTAAGCTCTGTGTAAGTCTGCTGTTCTTTCCGTATCTGTGGTACAATAAGTTACATTTATTTTTAATTTTATAATCAAAATACTGGTAAGAGACTATCATGAACGCTTTCAATACATCGTTTAAATACGAGGCACCAGGGGGAGAAGGGATTGTTAGTAATGGGGATTTGCAACCTCATTGCTAGCAATAAACCTATTAGGTCGACCTCCACGCGGTTCCCCCTGGAAACCATCATGATTGATTCGTTGTTGAATTTGTCAGGATGGGCTCACTGACCTGCTTCATTCTCACCTGTCATCCCTCACTGGTGCCCCACCGGTGTGTACCGATAGCGCAGGCGGGGTTGCCATTCCATTATCATCCATTAAAAAAATACGAGGCACCATTCGGGTGTTGCTACTCCTTTGTCATATTTTAAATCACAATATCTAGTAAAATAACTATATATCTTCAATCTAGAATAGCATGAAAGCTCTGCTAGATTAACTGAAGAATTATTCAGCGAAAAAGAAGGACACATGCAAATGATTTAAAACAATAATTTCTATTTTCTTCTGGTGTATCACAAGGCTCTATGTTAGGTCCTTAATGATATATAAATGAAATATATGACGAAATCGTGCCACCGATAAAACTTTGTAATTACTCCTCTCCACTCAAAGGTTGCCTGGAAGAGATCGCTTTTAGCGATAAGGTCGCCCATTGTTTTCTCATTGTGATTATTTCTTATAATTGTTTGTATCTATAATAAGTTTACTACTGTAATCTTTATAGCAATAAAGAGTATCTATCTAAATGATTTATGTCATACCACTGTCACATTGTCAATTACTAATCATTAGATATATTGACTGAAAGACATTTAAAATATTTTATCTGAAATAATATATCTTTGATTGAGCAGAATCTGTTTCGTTATTTTGTAAGCTACTATAGCATCTGGTCTAACTTGGAGATGATCTCGGCGGTGATGTTGTTGACGAGGGTGGTGAGGTCATCGGTGAACTGGTCCGGGAAGCGTGCCTTCCTCGGCGCCTCGTGCGCCCCGCTCCAGTACAGGTACTCCACCATTGACTTTACCATCAGTTCGAACAGAGCCCTGCGGAGGGAAGGAAATGTTTATATTGAGGTTGCTAGTCCTTATGCTAATAATATCGAGTATACTGTTAGCCCAACTAATATACACATAATAATTCTAATGAATTCAAGACGCGAAGGTCCTGAATCGATTTCACCCTGACGACATTAATAAATTATCAACCACAAGAAAACTGCATGGATTCAGTATAGTTTACCAGGAGTTGTGCATGGCGAGATCCCTGGTGGCACCGCTCGCGACCACCCACTGCAGTGCCAGTTCCTCGTGCAGGATTTTGCAGGATCCGTCGCTCATGACTGTACAGTACGAAAGCTATATTACTAATTACATCATGATGAAAATAGTGTATGTGGTGTGTATCTCTCTCTCTCTCTCTCTGTGTGTGTGTCTGACTGTGTGTGTGTGTGTGTGTCTCACTCTCTATGTGCGTGTGTCTCTGTGTATATGTGTGTCTCTGTCTGTATCACTGTGTGTATGTGTGTGTGTGTACGTGTGTGCGTGTATGTATGTGTGTCTGTGTGTGCGTGGGCGTGTGTGTGTGTGTATACGTCACGTCACCTGAGGGAGGCAGCGGCAGGCCGATGTCGCGGTCGGCGAGGCTGGGCCGCGGCGCGGTGCACTGGTACTGTATATACGTGCTGAGCAGCGCGCTCCGCCCGTGCCGGTCGCAGCCGGCGCCCTCGTTCATGTTCTGCAATGTGGCAACCATACGAGATACACTATTACAATGCTACTGTATATAGGACCACGTCAACTCTGTGCGCGGCATTTTTTTTTTAAAGGATGATAATGGAATGGCAACCCCGCCTGCGCTATTGGTATACACTGGCGGGGTACCAGTGATAGATGACTGATGAGGATGAAAGCAGGTCAGTTAGCCCATCCTGACGAATTTAACTAAAATTAGTCACCGTGATCTCAGTGAAGATGTGCGCGAGGCAGGTGAAGACGTCCTGCGCGATGTTGAGCGTGTGTCCGGCGAGCGCGGGCGGCGCCACCAGCAATCGCAGCAGCTTGTCCAGCACCACCGGCAGGTAGCGCGCCAGCACCTCCACGTTCGCCGTCGGCAGCTCCGATATGCTATCGCAACACGTACACACACATGTAGTACTGCACTTGGGCACAACTTGGGAGAAGAGAAGGGATGAAGTCTAAGAGAGATACTAAGTTAGTTAAGTTCTAAAGTGGAGGTTTCTAAGGTTCTTCTAGAGGTGTCATAGAATAAGTATTGCATCTATTCATCAACATCAAAGCAGAGAAATGTGTTTTTTTTTTTATTATATTTCTAAATAAATTTGATATGAAAAAATCTTTTTTTTTTTTTCAGGTTATTGTGAAAGACGAATCTTATTATTGTTAACTTCTCTTTCTTTTGAATTAAAAAAAAAAATAATATAAGATTAAATATAGAATTTTTTTAAAATTTGATTTTAGAATTCAATTATTATAGAATAATTATTACGCTTGGTTACTTCAATGGAGTGCAAGTGGGATGAAAGATAAGTAAAGGTCTGTAAACTGTAAAATTATAAAAGCTAATAATTTTAATGCAATAGAAACAGCAGTATACGCAAATAGTGTGACTGCCTAATTTTATTTTTAAATACTAATTTAATTCAGAGATGTTTCCTCTCACGAACACTCAGGTTGTGGAATGAGCCTGCCGAGGTTTTCCCAAGAGACTAAAGCATGGGGTTCTTCAAAAGGGGGGTAAAGAGGTTTCTTCGGGGTCGGCAACGCACGCGTAATACCTCTGGTATTGCAGGTGTTCATAGGCTACGGTTACCACTTTCCATCAGGTGGGCCGTCATCAGCTTGTTTGCCATTCTAAGTTGTATAAAAAAAACATAATGAATAGAGAACGAAAGAAAGGGCTGTTGGCAGCTCCAACCACTAAACCTTCGTATATTAATTATATCAAATATATAAAAAAAAAAAATAGATTGCAGTGTTACAAAATCAATAATCAAAATCATCTTTATTCAAATAGACTTGTATACAAGCACTTTTAAATCGTCATTTTTTAAAATACCTAGTCCGTAGTTCTGCTTCCATATTTGTGAGTCCTATTCGTGGCGGTATATTGCCCTCTAGCACTGCTTCGCACGCCATTGAGAATCGTTCGATATACCCATCCTAGAAATAAGAAGAGGGAGTATATATATAAATGTATGAACAACAACCGTCTCTATGTTCCATTATATGGGACATAGAGACATTGCAGTCGTCGTTCGTGATGTCACGCATGGGCACCACAGAATATCAGCGCTGTAGCAATTAAATTGCTGTAGCATGCTGAGTGGTGGCCACGTTGGCAATAACAAATGTATTTTTTTTCTATTGAAAATTAATGTAGCTTTTTTTGTTGTTGGCAATAAATGTTTTCTTTTTTCTTTCATATATATGTATATGTTTGACTTTTTTAGACGCAATGGAAACCCAATAATTATTAATATTTATATTATATGTTTGGTTCTTAAGCAAAAAAAAAAAAAAATTTAATATCTATTGTTGAATATAAGTCTTTCCCTATTGAGGGGTTTTGCCAGTATTTTCCATGCTTGACAGATGGATTGGTTTTACGCTTTGGTGATGTTTTATAGGGATGCTGCTGCGTATCCCTCTACCATTATGTTCCCTTAGTTGCCTCTTACGATACCCACGGAAAAGGAAGGGGTGGCCCATTCTATGGCGAGATCACAAGGCCATAGAATGGGCCACCCCTTCCTTTTACTCCCCATACATTGCTATTCTTGAGGACTAAGGTGTTATTCCTCTGTACCCTGTAAATTCACTGTCCATATCCCACCCTTCAAACCAAAACACAGCCATGCAAACACAACTGTTTAACGGTAGAAACACGAATTTTTGTTTTTGTTGGTAATTTGTTTAAAAAAGCAATTTGTATATTCTTCTTGTTCACTGACCAGCGGGTGCACGGTGGTGTGCGCGTCAAGTGCGATGCTGAAGATGGGCTTGTGGTTGTCGATCCAGCGCGTGCCGGGCAGCTGCACGTCCGGGAAGATGAACGAGTAGTTGGGCGGCGGCTCCTCCTGCATCACCGGCAGGTTGAACTCGCCGCACGTCAGCTTCCCGTTGCGGCACAGCGGCAACCACTGCGGACACCAGTCTATTACTCAACGCCCACTCGGCTACTGTCTAATGCAGGGTACCCAAACTTATTTTGTCTACTGCCCACTTTGGGAATAAATTATTTTTTAGCGCCCCCATTTTTCCTTCTATTTAAAAACCACTATTACTTCAAATTAATCCATTATTGTGTAAATTGTGTAAATTAATCAATTTTTTCTGGGTCTCTTACCGCCCCTCTTTAGGCCTGCAGCGCCCACAAGGGGGCGTTATCGGCCACTTTGGAAAAGGCTGATTTAATGTATAAAAAACTAATAAGCATCTCTTCGAAGCACTCTGTACAGTGAATCATATACTAATAGAATATTACGTGATTTCCTTTCTGTATTTTTAATTATTTTATTTATTTATTTATTTATAGGAACACCAACAGCATATTGCATTATGCTGTTATGCAAACACAACTGCTTCACGGTTGAAACACGAATGGGACAGAGGTACCCAAGCAATCGACTTTTGTACAAAGTCTTATATATTATAAACATATAATTAGACTAATAGAAACATACATATAATATATTAAATAAATATATACATATAATATTATGGAAGGATATAGAACAGATGGTGTACCGAGTATCCGACGGTGGTCTCGACGTTCTTCTCGTGCTCGGGCGCGACCGGCTTCCGCTGGCACGACACGTGCATGAACGTGAACAGCAGGTGGTGGTGGTCGCCCAGGTCGGCTGGCAGCTTCAGCTTTATCTCGTCGTACAGCGACGGGTTCCTGTTTTCAACGAGGGCGAGGGATTATTTCTAATAACACATCTGAATCATTGATGGAATTGTGTGTCTATGCTTTAATCATATTATAGGTTTTTTTAATGGCAAAGCAACTGACAGCCTTTATGGAAAACGGTAGTCGTTGTCTATGGACACCAGAGAATATCTACACCAGAATTTATTATAACACTATGGTACTCCTCATTTTTTTTTCGATGTGTGAAAATTAAATTATAACCCCGCCTGCGCCAACGGGATACGCTGGCGGGGCACCAGTGAAGGGTGATCGATGAGAATGAAAACAGGCCAGTTAGCACATCACGATGAATTCATCAGGAATTAGTCACTATAGTTTCCAGGGGGAACCGCGAGGAGGTCGACCTGGTTGGGTATATTGCTAGCAATGGGGCTCTTAGTCTCCATTACTAACAATCCCTTTCCCCCTGGTACGAGGAGTGCCGGGGGGGGGGGGGGGGGGGAAGGGATTGTTAAATAATTAAAGTGTTAGATTAGATAAGATTGGTGTCTTTAATCATAATCATTTAGCCACCAACATGTATATCCCCTAAAGTTGGAAAAAGAAGGCTTATGTTCTGGAGTGGACAGTTAAAGGCTGTTATGATGATGCTGATTATAATCATCCATGGGTACTGCTCATGTCTATAGGCGACGGTTACTACTTTCCATCAGTTGGGCCGACAGCTTGTTTGCCATTCTAACTTGCATAAAAAAGTATATTGCTGATAATGGGGCTGTTAGACCTCACTACTATCAATCCCATCCCCCCCCCCCCCCCCCCCCCCCCCCCCCCCGTGTACATACTTGTTGTGGTACAACACGGTGGTGTATGCCTCGGTAGTGAACTCTGGACACGAGCTGCGCCCGAAGATGGCCGGAAGCGCGGCTGCCTGGTCTTCGCCCGACATCAGCTGGATACGGACCTGATTGGGATAATATTTTTTTTTTATAAAAGAAGCCAAAGTAACAATTAAAAAAAAAATCGCATAGCACCTTAACGCATTTTTCTGTCATTATAATATGATATGATTAGAAACTTAACTATTGAATTTGTATTGCTTTTATTTTGGATGTAGATAGAATTTTCCAAAATAATATATAGCTTATAATGTAGCTTTATAGCATGAGTTGATAATTTCTTTTGCCTACCACAAAATGCCAAAGAATGACGAGGATAAATTTTTATACTTTTGTATTTATATACAAGAAACTGTGAAATAAAAGACTATATTAAAGGGTTTACCTTTACCCTTTGCACTCGAGCGGCGCCAATACGGCGCCCGGCCGATTCGAAGTGGCAACTCGAGCGGCGCTGCTGCGGCGCCCGAGTGTTTTAAAACTTTAAATCGAACTACGCTGCTACGACGCTATGGTCTTTTGTAACTGGATTTCCTTATTTACAATATGCGATAAGATAGTTTTCTCGGAAGTACTTTCGTGGACTAGGCTCTGCTTATATTGCAAGCAAAAAAGGCCTCGAGTGCAAAGGGTTAATAATGGTGCCGGTTAGGGTAGAAACATGTAAAAGATCACCGAAAAGATAGATTATTACAAAGAGGAAAGTGTAAAGATTTGATGAATTGTCTTATGTTTAAAATCTGAACTCGAAACAGCCAAGTCGCTATTTTATTTATATAAAATGGAACAGTGTCTAACGGTGATAGGAGTCGGTGCGCAACATGTATACGGCATTGTCTATGTCTAGTGTCCGAGTGACCAGTGTCTGAGTGTCTGAGTGTCCGAGTGTCTGAGTGTCTAGTGTCCGAGTGTCTGAGTGTCTAGTGTCCGAGTGTCTAGTGTCCGAGTGTCTAGTGTCCGAGTGTCTAGTGTCCGAGTGTTTAGTGTCCGAGTGTCTAGTGTCCGAGTGTCCGAGTGTCTAGTGTCCGAGTGTCTGAGTGTCCGAGTGTCTGAGTGTCCGAGTGTCTGAGTGTCTAGTGTCCGAGTGTCTGAGTGTCCGAGTGTCTGAGTGTCTGAGTGTCTAGTGTCCGAGTGTCTAGTGTCTGAGTGTCTAGCGTCCGAGTGTCTAGCGTCCGAGTGTCTAGTGTCTGAGTGTCTAGTGTCCGAGTGTCTAGTGTCTGAGTGTCTAGTGTCCGAGTGTCTGAGTGTCTAGTGTCCGAGTGTCTAGTGTCCGAGTGTCTGAGTGTCTAGTGTCCGAGTGTCTAGTGTCCGAGTGTCTGAGTGTCCGAGTGTCTGAGTGTCTAGTGTCAGAGTGTCTAGTGTCAGAGTGTCTAGTGTCCGAGTGTCTAGTGTCTGAGTGTCTAGTGTCTGAGTGTCTGAGTGTCTGAGTGTCCGAGTGTCTGAGTGTCTGAGTGTCTGAGTGTCCGAGTGTCTGAGTGTCTAGTGTCCGAGTGTCTAGTGTCCGAGTGTCTAGTGTCCGAGTGTCTAGTGTCCGAGTGTCTAGTGTCCGAGTGTCTAGTGTCCGAGTGTCTAGTGTCTGAATGTCTAGTGTCCGAGTGTCTAGTGTCCGAGTGTCTAGTGTCCGAGTGTCTGAGTGTCTAGTGTCCGAGTGTCTGAGTGTCTAGTGTCCGAGTGACCAGTGTCTGAGTGTCTAGTGTCCGAGTGTTTAGTGTCCGAGTGTCTAGTGTCCGAGTGTCTGAGTGTCTAGTGTCCGAGTGTCTAGTGTCCGAGTGTCTGAGTGTCTAGTATCCGAGTGTCCGAGTGTCTAGTGTCTGAGTGTCTAGTGTCCGAGTGTCCAGTGTCCGAGTGTCTAGTGTCCGAGTGACCAGTGTCTGAGTGTCTAGTGTCCGAGTGTCTAGTGTCCGAGTGTCTGAGTGTCTAGTGTCTGAGTGTCTAGTGTCCGAATGTCTAGTGTCCGAGTGTCTAGTGTCCGAGTGTCTAGTGTCCGAGTGTCTAGTGTCCGAATGACCAGTGTCCGAGTGTCTAGTGTCTGAGTGTCCGAGTGTCTGAGTGTCTAGTGTCCGAGTGTCTGAGTGTCTAGTGTCCGAGTGTCTGAGTGTCTAGTGTCCGAGTGTCTAGTGTCCGAGTGTCTAGTGTCCGAGTGTCTAGTGTCCGAGTGTCTGAGTGTCTAGTGTCTGAGTGTCTAGTGTCCGAGTGTCTGAGTGTCTAGTGTCCGAGTGTCTGAGTGTCTAGTGTCCGAGTGTCCGAGTGTCTAGTGTCTGAGTGTCTAGTGTCCGAGTGTCCAGTGTCCGAGTGTCTAGTGTCCGAGTGACCAGTGTCTGAGTGTCTAGTGTCCGAGTGTCTAGTGTCCGAGTGTCTAGTGTCCGAGTGTCTAGTGTCCGAGTGTCTGAGTGTCTAGTGTCCGAGTGTCTAGTGTCCGAGTGTCTAGTGTCCGAATGACCAGTGTCCGAGTGTCTAGTGTCTGAGTGTCTAGTGTTCGAGTGTCTAGTGTCCGAGTGTCTGAGTGTCTAGTGTCCGAGTGTCTAGTGTCCGAGTGTTTAGTGTCCGAGTGTCTAGTGTCCGAGTGTTTGAGTGTCTAGTGTCCGAGTGTCTAGTGTCTGAGTGTCTGAGTGTCTAGTGTCCGAGTGTCTAGTGTCCGAGTGTTTAGTGTCCGAGTGTCTAGTGTCCGAGTGTCTAGTGTCCGAGTGTCTGAGTGTCTAGTGTCCGAGTGTCTAGTGTCCGAGTGGCTAGTGTCTGACTGTCTAGTGTCCGAGTGTCTAGTGTCTGAGTGTCTAGTGTCCGAGTGTCCAGTGTCCGAGTGTCTAGTGTCCGAGTGACCAGTGTCTGAGTGTCTAGTGTCCGAGTGTTTAGTGTCCGAGTGTCTAGTGTCCGAGTGTCTGAGTGTCTAGTGTCCGAGTGTCTAGTGTCCGAGTGACCAGTGTCTGAGTGTCTAGTGTCCGAGTGTCTAGTGTCCGAGTGTCTAGTGTCCGAGTGTCTAGTGTCCGAGTGTCTGAGTGTCCGAGTGTCTAGTGTCCGAGTGTCCGAGTGTATAGTGTCCGAGTGTCTCGTATCCGAGTGTCTAGTGTCCGAGTGTCTGAGTGTCCGAGTATCTGAGTGTCTAGTATCCGAGTGTCCGAGTGTGTCTAGTGTCCGAGTGTCTAGTGTCTGAGTGTCTAGTGTCCGAGTGTCTGAGTGTCTGAGTGTCTAGTGTCCGAGTGTCTAGTGTCCGAGTGTCTGAGTGTCTGAGTGTCTAGTGTCTAGTGTCCGAGTGTCTAGTGTCCGAGTGTCTAGTGTCTAGTGTCCGAGTGTCTGAGTGTCTAGTGTCCGAGTGTCTGAGTGTCTAGTGTCCGAGTGTCTAGTGTCCGAGTGTCTAGTGTCCGAGTGTCTAGTGTCCGAGTGTCTAGTGTCTGAGTGTCTAGTGTCCGAGTGTCTGAGTGTCTAGTGTCCGAGTGTCTGAGTGTCTAGTGTACGAGTGTCTAGTGTCTGAGTGTCTAGTGTCCGAGTGTCTAGCGTCCGAGTGTCTGAGTGTCCGAGTGTCTGAGTATCTAGTGTCCGAGTGTCTGAGTGTCTAATGTCCGAGTGTCTAATGTCCGAGTGTCTAGTGTCCGAGTGTCTAGTGTCCGAGTGTCTAGTGTCCGAGTGTCTAGTGTCCGAGTGTCTAGTGTCCGAGTGTCTAGTGTCTTAGTGTCTAGTGTCTCAATTTAGGTGTCTAGTGTCCGAGTGTCTAGTGTCCGAGTGTCTGAGTGTCTAGACACTGACTGTCTAGTGACTGAGTGTCTAGACACTAGATACTCAGACAGTGTCTGAGTGTCTAGTGACACTCAGACACTCGGTCTAGTGTCTAGACACTGTCGGACACTAGACAGTGTCTAGACACTAGACACTCGTACACTAGGACACTAGTGACTCGGACACTTGACACTCAGACACTTGACACTCAGACACTAGACACTCGGACACTAGACAGTCGGACACTAGACACTCCGGACACTAGACACTGTATGAGTGACTAGTGACACTAGACACTCTGGACACTAGTGTGTGACACTCAGACACTAGTGTCGGTGTCTACACTCAGACACTAGACACTCGGACACTAGACACTCATACACTGGACACTCACACACTGGACACTCAGACACTAGACACTCGGACACTAGACACTCAGACACTCGGACACTCAGACACTAGACACTCGGACACTAGACACTCAAACAATCGGACACTAGTCACTCATACACTCGACACTGGACACTCAGACACTCAGACACTAGACACTCAGTGACTTGACACTCAGGCACTGGACACTCCGACACTGGACACTCAGACACTGGTCACTCAGACACTAGACACTCGGACACTAGACACTCAGACACTAGACGCTCAGACACTAGACACTCGGACACTAGACACTCAGACACTAGACACTCAGACACTAGACACTCGGACACTAGACACTCAGACACTAGACACTCGGACACTAAAATCTCGGACACTAGACACTTAGACACTCACACACTAGACACTCTGTCACTAGACACTCAGACACTGGACACTCGGACACTAGGACACTCACATCAAGACACTAGACACTCAGACACTCGGACACTAGTCACTCATACATTCGACACTGGACACTCAGACACTCAGACACTGGTCACTCGGACACTAGACACTCAGACACTCGGACACTCGGACACTAGACACTCAGACACTAGACACTCGGACACTAGACACTCAGACACTAGACACTCGGACACTAGACACTCGGACACTAGACACTCAGACACTAGACACTCGGACACTAGACACTCAGACACTAGACACTCGGACACTAAACACTCGGACACTAGACACTCGGACACTAGACACTCGGACACTAGGACACTCGACACTCGGACACTAGACACTCGGACACTAGACACTCGGACACTAGACACTCAGACACTAGACACTCGGACACTAGACACTCGGACACTAAACACTCGGACACTAGACACTCAGACACTAGATACTCAGACACACAGACAAAGTACTTGAATGGCTAACGTCCAATGTCTAGGTGTCTGAATATCTGAGTGTTCAGTGTCCGAGTGTCCCGAGGGAGTGTATAATGGAATATATATATGTATAATGGAATAGTGTGTTACGGTGATGTTCCTGGCGGAGCCGGCGCGTGAGGTATAGGCGGCGAGGTTGATCTCCCGCACGGCCAGGTACAGCAGGTTGCGGTACTGGTAGTGCGGCGCCGCGGCCCAGCTCAGCGGGAACGACAGCACTTCCTTACACGGCCGGACATTCTCGTCTGGTGGGGAACAATAGAAAAATTTTTTTTACAAACTAGTTTTTACCCGTGCCTTCATCTGAGTCACCGGGATATGTTTACTGACTGGCAGAAAAAGTAGCCTACATCTCCATTACATATAGGTTTATAGTTAACTTCACAGTGATTAAGGCGCTTTGTAATATATTAAACAAACTCACTTTTACATTTATAATATTAGCAAGGCTTAGTTAGCGCAGGCAGGGTTACCTTTCCATTTTCACCCAAAAAAAAAACGATATCCCGCAGTTTAAGATATCTGTAATCCCCTGGCTCTGGATAAGCCATTCCTAGTAAACTCATACGCATGCTCGCTAACGAATCACAGTTGCACATCAAGTGTTCCATGGATTCCGATTTCTCCCCGCACAGTCTGCACAGTGTGTCCGAAGATAGACCCATCTTGTGTAGTATATCCCATATGTCCAATTAAGGCAACCATAATGAGTCTTGCCTGTTGTCTGCCAAAAACTAGTACTTACCTCCATAAGGGTTCAATTTAGCCAATTCAGGCGTCAGACCGTTTTTGATCTCCTCCGGACACGGCGACACTTCTATCTTCAGGGTACCGGGTATGCACTTCAGTTTCTTCGGGGCTGAACTTGGCCGCTTTATTTCCGCCAAGAATTTGTACAAGTCCTCGTCGCGGAGTTTGTCCGGTTCCTGTTAAAATGTAATATATTATATAATGTAAATTTAAGATTTAAGTTGTTAAATTCTCATTGTTTTTTTTTATAATTGACAGAAATTTAGATCTTTTTCATATAATTCTCTATATTGTTGTTATTTTAATATTTAGGCACAATTTTGTTAAGGTGCATACTAGGTATTAATAAACTCTTTAGTGAAATTTGAAAATAGAAAAAGAAAAATATTTTTGCATGGTAACTTTAATATTTGTCGGTGTTCTATAAATTGACTTTTGTCTAAAATTGTCTTTACAAAATGCCCCCTTACGGGCAAAACTTATGTTCTGCAGTGGACAGTTAACGGCAGAAATGAATGATGAATGAAACGAGGATCAGGGTGTGGGCACAGCTGGTATATATCCAGACATACGTAATGTCTTACGTAATGTGTTCTCTCATTTGTAACAGTAATAGGAGATAGAGCTGACCTGCTTGAAGAAGCTAGTGACGGTGATGACGATGGGCTTGAAGGTGAGCAGCTGCGCGGACAGGTCGTCGTGCGCGTGGGGCGAGTGCGCCGCGTGCGGGGTGAACGCGCCGGCCGCGGGGGGCGGGCCGCGCCGCTCTACTGACCCTTTGCGGGTCAATGAACCGCCAACTTCTCCCGCGCGTCGCCGCAGCTGCTCCAAACTCGACGACGATGCTTTACGGTCTAACAACATTATGAGAGTGTTAGCAATTTGCTAGCAATGTCATAGGGAAGATGGAGAGATATTAGTGATGGGAACAATTGGTCCCATTGTTAGTAATGCATCTTTTAAGACTGTTTAGGGTCTCCCTGGTAAGTTGGACGGCCCACCTGATGGAAAGGTAACCGTTGCTTATAGACATGAGCAGTACCATGGACACACACATACTGTTTCGTCCATGATACTCCCCGTGCGTTGCCATTCCTGAGGACTCAGGTGTTATTCCTCTGTACCCTGTAAATTCACGCCATATCCCACCCTTCAAACCGAAACACAGCCATGCAAATACAACTGCTTCACGGTAGAAACACGAATGGGACAGAGGTACCCAAGCAATCGACTTTTGTACAGTCTCCCTCTGGTAACATCTCTACTAATGTCATCTTCTTAATGTTATACCCGCAATAAAAATCATTACACAAAACAATTTTTTCCCCCTTAAATTTATTTACACTCACCTAAACTATTAGTACTGGAATTGGTCGATAGACTGTTATTGTCCGCCTGCTCTCGCTCCAAACTGTTGGATCCGCTAAGGATGTTCAACAAGGATACAGCACTCCAGGCCAGCGGCATGCGGTACTTCCCGAGGCGGGAGCATGCCGCTTGAGCACTCGCTCGCACTTTTTCGCGGTTCTTGGTGAGAGAAAAAGTAAACATTCATGAAGTGAATATACTAATGATTGTTATGTCTCATGGGGTAGATAGAGGCACTTGTTAATTGTTATAAAATTGTTGTGGTTGATTGGTTGTGTTTGTATTTGAAAGAGGGGGTGTGGGAGTGAAATTACAGTTTCTTTTTATACAACTTAGAATGGCAAACAAGCTGACGGCTCACCTAATGGAAAGTGGCAACCGTCGCCTATAAACATGAGCAGTGCCATGGACATGACAGAGTATACGGTTTCGCCCTTTGATAGCCCCTATGCGTTGCCATTCCTGAGGACTCAGGTGTTATTCCTCTGTACCCTGTAAATTCACGCCATATCCCACCCTTCAAACCGAAACACAGCTATGCAAACACAACTGCTTCACGGTTGAAACACAAATGGGACAGAGGTACCCAGGCAAACGACTTTTGTACAAAGTCTCCTTCTGGTAATTACATAAGATATCCCACACGAATGATCAGGCATGAAGAGTACTATAGGATCATTATAGTTCCTTCTTTGTTGTCCATAGGGCTGTTCATGTCTATAGGCCATCTCTTTCTATCATTTCTATCTTCAGCTTTGTTATTTAAAACATTAGAAAAAAAAAATTGCTGATTATTGTCATAAGAGGATTCAGAATGTTACAGCAACAATTAATATATTTTCATTATGGGGGGAAGGACTTGTTAGTAATGTGGACTACCAGCCCCATTGCTGGCAATATACCCTGGTCGACCTCCATGTGGCCCCCCTGGAAACAGTCGTGCTGAATTCCAGATGTATTCATCACAATGGGCTAACTGACCTGCCTTTTCATTCTCACCTATCATCCTTCACTGGTGTTCCGCCAGCGTATACCATTAGCGCAGGCACGTTTACCATTCCATTATCATCTATTAAAAAAATATATTTGCTCTAAATATTCAAACACATACCTTATCATCCTTGATATAAGGTTCAACACACTCATTCACATCTCCTTGGAGGACTTTCTCAACACGAACTACAAGGAACACATCAGGGGACGGATTCAATATGTCGAATATTGCACTCCGGCTGAGGGTCGAGATGTCCGCGTGAGGAATGTGGGCTGAGAGCATCTGCTTGGTGCACTCGGAGTTCAGGTTGAAGTAGAAGTTCTCTGATAGTTTCTTCTTCTCTTTGGCGTCGAAAAGTGCCATGGAAGCGAACAGTGGTTCCACATCCAATTCTAGTCTGTGTTGTGATGAAAGATAATCATTTTTAACCGACTTTGAAAAAAGAAGAGGTTCCCAATTAGGTTGTATTTTTTATGTTTGTTACCTCTTAACTCTGACATTTATAGACCGGTTTAGCCTTTTTTTATCTGATAGGATATACTTTTAAATTAGTTCCTTAGAAATTTTATCAAAATCAGTTTAATAGTTTAGTTTTTAAATCAAAATAATTAATGGTTCAAAGTGGGTGTTTTTTTTTGTGAGACAAAATGTTAAATTATTAATATAATAAAACATTATAAAGCTGTGAAGAAAGCATACCTTTTTCGTATACACTTTTCAAAGCATATTTCTTGTTTTAGATAAAAGCATAGTTTGGGACTACATGGCGTCATGTAATTTTATTTTTATTTATTTTTTATATGAGGGCAGAAGGGAAAATTGTTGGGACATTTGATACGACACGACGACTTTATGAACATTATAATAGACGGTAAGATAGAAGAGGGAGACCGAGACATAGTTACATCAAGCAGATCAAGGAAGGAGTTGGTGTCGTGTCGTAGTAAGTGGCAAGAGCTCCACCGACAAGAGCGCAGCTCTTAAATAGAATAGATAGCTAGACTCTTTATTATTTATTGCACTATTTAAAGAATAATACAAAAAAAAACAATAAAAAACGGTCTTATCGCTGAAGCAATCAAATAAAAGGGTAAAGGAAAAAGAAAAAGATGGTTGCTATTTGGCGATATAAGTATATCTAATACTACCATAGATACACATAAGTTCGTTTGTTAATTTAATTCACTTATATTCGTATTTACTGATATTACTCACAACTCAGCTTACATGTATATTTCCATAACTAATAACGCAACTTTTAAAATATTTGTAGTCCAGTATTATTTAATTCCTTAAAATTGTTTACTTCATTTCAAACTGTATAATTATGTTAAAATAAACTCTGTGAATACCTTTAATAGGCGTGTATGAATAATAAATATATTATATAAATAAATATATAAAATATATAACTAAATATATACATATTGTAATATTATTTATGTTTGATCGTATTTATTATATTGTGTTGTAGTATTTAGTACACAAGTTGAGAGGTATCATACATTCAGAGTAATAACTACCTAATAAGTATGAAATCAATGATGTACTTACTTCAGCTGGTGACAGTTAACCAGTATCCTATGGCCCATCAGCTCACACGGCATCTCAGCAGGCAGCCGTCTCTCCACCGCCTCCTCCTCATCCAGGTACGGGATATACAGACCTAAGAGATCAGGTTGTCGATTCTCCAACCTGAGAACAAGTTAAACATATACTTAAATATTAAAAATTAAAAAGAAACAAATCTGAAATTGAAGATACACACGTCTTACTAATTTTGAATTTCCTATAAACTTTCCCATGTATATAAACAATGTTTAAACAAGGAAAAGAGACGACAGTAGGTTTGCCCTTTGGCACATTGGAATCCAATATACTCCCCATAATACAGTCGAATGTCACAACAATCGATGGGAGCATGTGACTAAATATTTTTGTAAATACCATTATTTTAATACCATATAATAACGTAATCTGTAAATACCATATTAGGGTATATAAATACCTTAAAACCACCGTGGGATTAATGGTGGTGAATATTATTTTTAAAGGTTCACATGTTTGTGATAATATAATTAGAAAGTGATAAAAACCTTCTAGCTTCGTTTATAGCATCCACTTGTTCCATCGGCTTCCTCTCAAAGAGGTCAGGCAGCAGTGGGTCAGATGAGGAACTGCGCAGGTCCAGACTCGCCCACGAACCTCGGGGAGTCAGTGTTTCATTGCAAGATGACGAGGATGAGATGGAAGCAACTGATTGACGTCCACTTGATGGTTGAGATTCAAACTGTAAGACGTCAAGTTATTTAATTTTCGACCGACTTCAATAAGAAAGCTCTTGATTTGGTTATGTTATTTTGATGTTTGTTACCTCATAACTCCATCAGTTATAAACCGATTTGGAAATATCTTTTTTTTTATCTGAAAGCATATACTTACATATTGGCCCCATGGAAATTTTATCAAAATCGATTTACTAGTTTAGTATTTAAAAGAAATCAACTGGTTTTGCTGCAAATGAAGTAGTTTTTTTTCTGAAAGACAATCTTCAAGAGAATCTTTAATTACTATATTTGCTGAACTGTCATACACTGCCATCTACATAATTCATTTTACCTGATCGAAATAAAACTATTTTATATTTTAAGCTGGAGCAAACAACACAATTAAACAAAATTAACAAAATTTTCATTAAAATCGGTCCAGTTCTTTCCAAACTTAGAATGAACGAACATACGGAATTTTTATATATTTATCTTTTTTTTTGTATTTTTTTTTATTTATTTTGTGAATATATATCTGTGTTTGCCTCTATTTGTGTCGTACAAATAAATTATTTATCTATCCTTCTATCTTCTTATATAACTTGGCCCATTTCAATAACAATTTACATCTATATAACAAGCTGACAGCCTACCTGATAGAAAACTAAAAAGAAGTAACTGTTGCATATAAACATGAACAGCACCACAAACTTTACAGAATATGCCGTGATACCCTCATATGCTGTCTTCTCAGAACTGTGATGCCTCTCATACATTGTCATTCTTGGGGACCATGATCTTATCTTAAATCAATATATCTTTATATTCAATTTTAATAAAGATATATTATGCAAACATATATATATATATATATATATATATATGTTTGCAATAGTTAATTTTTAACTTTCGCATTGTTTACACATATTTTTAACTTATCAGGACTGCAAGGGACCTGCAAGGGTTTTTCAACGCCTTAAGTCCTGATAGTATTTAAAATATGTATATAAATTTAATCTTATAATGTTAAAAACTACCAGATTAAGATCTTGTATTGTGGTAAGTACTCATATATATCGTCATAGTCGTAGGATCTATATATGTAATATTTGTCAGATCCGTCAGTATTCTATGACTATGACGATATCAGTTTTAATGGATTTTTTTTTAATAAAGTGAAAGAGCAAGTCCTCACCTGGTTGGGGACCAATTCCTCAGTGGACACTGTGGGTGGGTCGGCATCGATTTCGTACTGGTGGCGCGGCGCCGCCTGAAGTTTCTCGAGGCGCTCGCTGATCCGGTCGCGGTTGAACACCGACGCGGAGTACATTCTGTACTTGTACTCCACAACGGTGTAGTCTTGAGTGTAACATCGTATGCAGTCGCGGACGAACATCGGCGCTTTGGTCCTGTACAAAGATTTGTAAGTTTTTTTTTATACGACTTAGAATGGCAAACAAGCTGACAGCCCACCTGATGGAAAGTGGTAACCGTCGCCTATAGACATGAGCAGTATCATGGACATAACAGAGTATACTGTTTCACCCATGATACCCCCCATGCATTGTCATTCCTGAGGTGATATTCCTCTATATACCTATCTCCATAACTCAGGTGTTATCCTCTGTACCCTGTAAATTCACTGCCGTATCCCACCCTTCAAACCGAAACACAGCCATGCAAACACAAGTGATTCACGGTAGAAACATGAATGGGACAGAGGTACTCAAGCAATCGACTTTTGTACAAAGTCTGGTAAAAGATATCATTTTTGGCCTCAATTGAAGCTCACAGTTTGCCTACTGTAAACATTTTGTGGATGAGTCAAGATTTTTTGGTATCTAATGTCACTAGAAGCCCTTAGTTTGCCTCTTTTTTGTTTAATGTTATTGAAGGTTGTAGTAGTGAAATTAAGAATAAGAAGAATATCAGTCCCACCTATAAAAAATGAATATTTATGAGTTTTTTTTTTTATAATTTTAAGCAGTACCATAAAATTTACCAAGACGACTTTTATTACCTCATTAGAGGTTAAAGTTGTGAGTATATTAATTTTTTTACCATTAAATAAAATAATTATTTTATATTATAACTTTTAAAGACTAATAACAGCATCAATATAAAGAAAAGAAAAAAAAAACATATTTGAATAAAACTGCATAATTTTTCATATTTTTTTAAATTAGTGTCACTTTCTCCATCTTTTAATTAATTTTGATAATTCTCTTATTTAATTACTACCTTTATTAATAATAATTGGTTTCTTGAACAAAATTTACTATCACATAGTGCAATAACCTAATTTTGTCCTCATTGAAATAGCTGCTTTTTGTAGCAAAATTTTATATTATCCACATGAAAGATTACTTACAAGTCTTCATCAGGCAGCACATGTGTGAGTGTGCGTATCTTCTTTGGCACAATGCACAATTCGATGTCGGAGGCTGGGTACGCGAGCGGGTCTCGCTCACCGACCAGCCTCTCGTACACCTCCTCATAGTCTGGTGGTTCGATCATGTCGCACAATGATATCTGTATGTAAGCAATTTAATATTTTTTATTATAACAAGAAACGCAGTAGTTTTCATTCAGTGCTTAATATTTTAGAAATCTATACATACATGCTATTAACAAAAAAATAACCATAATAATTACTAGAGACGCACTCCAGGTTTGCACAGTTTGATAGAAAATATTCTCTATATTACTCCCTGATAATGTAGCTTATTACAGATAGATAGATGATATTCTTTATTGTTTCCTCCAAAAGATTACAATAGCAAACTCATTATAGATACAAACAAATTACAAGAAATAATCACAATGAGAAAACGAATGGGGAGATTAAACAATTTTCAAAATTAGTCCAGTAATTTCTGAGTTTATCTGTTACAAACAAATCATTAAATAATATTAATATAGATTATATTTGTGGAAATTATACATTAAGCCCCTTATGCATAAAAAATTAAAACTTTCATACAACAACAAATAGCTAATAAAGTATTTTGTCCCTATCTTTCAAATTGAGAAATTAGGACAAATGAAAAAAAAAACACTTCTACATCTAAAATAGGTTTAGGAGAGGTTTGACATTTTTATGAATAAGGGGGTAAATTGTTAATATTATACACTAAATGATATTTAATATGACCTATAAAGGTTTAACTCGACATGTAGTTAATTGATTTTTTTCTATAAATAACTGACAAATTAATTAGACATTAATTATTTGATTGTAATAATATAATTCCCATTTTTAAATGCTTAAAGTATTAAAAATTGTTACAAAATTGTTGTGTAACGAAATGGACTAGTTAACTTTTTTTAAATTATAGAATGTGAGCATTACCTACAAGTTTTAGTTCATGTTACACCAGTTATTATTAGCGACTAAAAACAGTTATTGCAATGTTAAGATCGACTAATAAGTAAAAGATTAATAAAGGATTCAAAGCATGCACAAATAGTTTAGTGGGCAAGTATGATTCATGAAATAGTCTATTGGTATTATAACTTACTGATGACGAGCACCCAGACAGAGTTCCCACCTTCGACTGGTTAGCATACACCTTTCGAGCATCCCCAGCATTCCTATAAATAGGGAAAAATCAATCCAGCTGTATTTTTGCACCTCCAACCCGTGTTACATGCATCATTAAGCGGGGCCATAGGGTGTAATCAAACCATTTACCCGGAAGAGTGTTGATACTTGCGTCCTAGTGTCATCTAAAATTGAACTAAAGCTAAACTGCTGATATAAAAGTTTATTTATTTACACCAATAAATTATAATCTTATAAGATTCATATAAATCAAACGGAAACCGACAGAAACAAACAAATCCGTTTTGACATTAATGACTTTTTTGAAAACTTTTTAAGCTTGACAGTTCAAGTTGACGTTCATGACATTTAATGTTGTTTTACACAGTACACGAATAACAAGAAATACGAATATACATCTATAACTAATGTGTTTATTATTAAATTTGTGTAAAATATTCTCTATTGATTCTTGGATGTTGATTGGGCCAGCTAATAATATAAACATCCGTTGAGTTACTTACTTAACTGGCGATCCTCTAATTTCTTGATTTACAGACTAAATGATATTATTTTAACTATTTTGGCTGGATTCCCGATATATTTTTTACGGTGGCCTTAATGATCTGCCTTACTCCTCACTGGTGTTCCATCAGCGTATACCGTTAGTGTATGCGGGGTTACTATTTCATTAAAAAAAAAAATTAATTCCAATAAAAAAACCCATTTAACATCAGATTGGTTAGATGCTTACCCGTTGGTATTAAAATAATTAATATTAGTAAATAAATGTACACATACTCATTCTCCTTATTTTGTATGTTTATTTAAATTTTCGATGAACACTCCATTGAAGGAAAAATCCTTTATATAAACCAAAGTAACCCTAGTGATAGCATAACTTATGTAATTGGAGAGAAGCGTTTGATAGCAATGAGGAAACATGGCCCCTTTCTAACAATATATCCTGTCATATCATGGTGGTTAATTCCTATAAATTCGTCAAGGTAGATTAATTAACTTGACGAAGTCTTCACAGATTTGAGAGTTAGTAATGAAGATTTATTGTTAAATTCGTCACGATGGCCCAACTAACCTGCTTCATCATCGCCTATTATCCCTCACTGATACCCCGCCACTTTATACCAATAGCGCAGGCAGGGTAAACATTCCATTATCATCTGTTAAAAAAAATCCTTACGGATCATCCCTCACTGGTACCCCGCTATATAATCTGAGAACCGTTTTAATTAAGTAAAAATTGCAAAAAATCAAAGTCTGCTGCGACATAGGTATTAAAATCATAACAAAGTGAAATCACGCTGCGTTCGAGCTGCGCATATATTTAATCCCTCTACAGTTTCTAGTTCCACGTTTGTGAAATGTAATTGGATTTAGAGTCGCGTGGCAAGGGCTTCCTAGACACGAGACCTTCGTTCGTCGGATAAGGACACGATTTAAAAAAAAACCTATTGTAAATTATAAATAGATAAACCGGAGAGGAAAAGGATTATTAGTAATGGAGACTGAGAATCCCATTGCTAGCAATATACCCAACCAGGTCGACCTCCTCGCGGTTCCCCCTGGAAACTATCATGGTTAATTCCTAATGAATTGATCATGATGGGCTAACTGGTCTGTTTTCATTCTCATCTATCACCCTTCACTGGTGCTCCGCCAGCGTATCCCATTAGCGCAGGCGGGGTTATCATACCATTTTCACCCATCAAAAAAAAAAAAAATAGATAAACCAATTCATATACGTGTAGGTATACAAAATTGTAAGCAATCTGTGCGTATTTTAAGTACGCATAATATCGGTATTGCACCAATATCGATATATTAAGTTTCTCACGACATTAATGGCGGGAAAACGGTCATTATCTATTTCGATATTGCACATACCGGTCGGATGCTTATATTAATTTCAATTGGGTTTTTCATTTTTATATTTAATATTAGATAACAGATATTTAACATATTCGTTATTGGGCTAATATTTAGATATATTTTTTTTAATGGATGTCTATGGAATGGTACCTCGCCCGCGCTAACGGTATACGCTGGCGGGACACGTTAATTTTTTTTTTTTATTTGTGGAAACTCACAAAGGCATATCGTGCTGGCTTTAATAAATAGATTGGTATATATGTAGGTATGTTGTGTTTTTTTTTTAATTTTTTATTTTTAATGAGTGAAGATGAAATGGTAGCCCCGCCTGCGATATCGATATACACTGCCGGGGTACCAGTGAAGGGTGACAGGTGAGGATGAAGGCAGGTCAGTTCGCTCATAGTGACCAATTAACAATTATGGTTTCCAGGGAGAACCGCATGAAAGTCAACCTGGTAGGGTGTATTGCTAGTAATGGGACTGTTAAATCTCATTACTAACAATCCCTTTTTCCCCCAAAATATGTTGTGGTTAATGGCAACAAGCATTGGTAAGCTCACGAGGTATCACTAGTATCTTCGTTGGCCCTTTAAAATAGAAGTGTATGCACTCTTCGATCTAACTTTATGTATATCTGAAATCTCCGCTCTTTATTTTGAGGTGGGCATAATGCCATCTGGGTGGGCATGGACAGCTCGGCTACTACTAATTAAATTTAATCGAGTGGCATCGACGTCATTTGCAGACGACTTTTTTTTAGGTAGATAATTTATTTACTTGCAAAAACATTTGAAAGATATAATTTTATATTTCTGATACAGATATGGTGGCAACCAATGCTTTGTTTTATTCAAAGAGATTTTAAAAGCAATCTGTTTCAATGTTCATTAAATTACAAATGAATAAAACTTTAATGGTACCTAATTTTTTTTCACAAACGAACAATAAATTTGTTAGTAAATCTATTAACTTGTCAAAATAAAGTTATAAACAATAGCGAGCGACGCTATTGGAAATGCTAACTGAATTAAAATCTGCGTTCGTCTCGAGTCTGTAACTGCCCCGCCCTAGTACGCAGGGCGGCCGGCCGCCCGCCCTTAGTATCATTTGCGTTCAGCTCTGTCATACACGTTCCTTACGCATACACAAATAAAAAAATAACATTAATACATTTCTTTAGTAAAAAAAATAATAATATAAACTCGATGAATACGAACTTTCGAATACATTCGAAATTTGAATATAGGAAGTGTTAAAAGCCAGTATTTCGTGTGTTTTTTTTTTATAAATTTGAAATAGGTATAGGTACTCCGATAAGACAGCTACACTACAAAGCTTTGAATCAGAAAACATTAATTAACTAAAGCGTTTAGAGTCAGTGATTTGTTTAATTAAAAAGACACTATTCATTTAAGTGATCACTAGAATTTAAGTGTAATTGTTAAACAGTTTAACGTAACGAAAAGTGATTAGAAATTGTATGTTTTTTCTTGTCAGACTTGTTACAAGTTGATCGATTTAAATAGACGATATATTTTGATAATAGTTTATTTAGTATAAAGTAGAAAATAAACGGCAGTGCAACAGGTGATCGAAACGACCACACTTGACATGATTCTTTACGATGTAAGTAACATTATAATACACTAGTATAAACAATGATAATAGAAAAAAAATTTTATTCAAATAAACTTAATAATAAGTATTTCTGAATTGTCAATTTTTTATGAATCTATCGACTAGTTCGGAATGCAATTTCAGCTGAGAAGAACAGACAAGAAATACAGCTGTTGCATTTTCAAATAAAAGTTTACAACAAATAAATATGAATGAATGAATAAAATGATTATCACAAACGATGCATTGATAAAAAGATAGAAAATATGATATAATTTATTATTATTATTATTATATTTTAAATCAAAATTATAATAAAATAGTAGAAGACAATGTCATTGCCCGGGTCTGTTTGTTTCTCCATTTACTTTCTACAAACGATGCAATAGATTTTACTATTAGCAAAATATTTTTTATTATGAATCGCTCGTATTTTTACTCGTTTATACATTTTGCATCCCAAGCAAATGAAGCCGTAGCAGGTCACTAGTCCTATGAATAAAAAACCCAAATAATTGTAAATAACAAATAATAAAAGTGGTAACCGTCGCCTATAGACATGAGCAGTACCATGGACATAACATACTCTGTTTCGCCTATGATACCCCCATGCGTTACCATTCCTGAGGACTCAGGTGTTATTCCTCTGTACACTGTAAATTCACGCCATATCCCACCCTTCAAACCGACACACAGCCATGCATACAAAACTGCTTCACGGTTGAAACACGAATGGCACAGAGATACCCAAGCAATCGACTTTTGTACAAAGTCTCCCTTTGGTATAAATATATTGTTACTCATTCATGCAAAAACTACTGAACGGATTTGAATGAAATTTAGTACGCGGATAGGTTATAAGCTAACTTAGAACATAGAATACTTTATACTCTGATTTACGCGAGTAAAGCCGCGGGATTCGGCTAGTTATACAAGAAATATGATTATGCACAATTAATTAAAAAAAATAATCTAATTATAATTAATTTACAAAATTTGATTTTATCCTTCTAATATAAAAAAAATAGAATATTTTCTATTTTTTTTATATATTATATATGTTTATTTCCAACTCAAATATAAGTGTTTAAAGTTTCAAAAGTTTCTGATGATAGGAGATATTTGACAAACTAATATATTAAAAGCGGTGGTCAGTTTTCGAGTGTTGGCAGTCACACACTTTCTACCATCGTACGGCTCGCCATCGACAGGGAGTTCACCCTCATACCTTACAGCCTAAATGGTCGCGTACAACGCGCTTTCAGAGATGTTTTCTCCCACGAACACTCAGATTATGAAATACCTGCCCTGCCGAGGTTTTCTCAAGATGCTACAGCATGGGATTCTTCAAAAAGGGGGTAAAGAGGTTTCTTTAGGATCGGCAACGCATGCGTAATACCTCTGGTATTGCAGGCGTTCATAGGCTACGGTAACCGCTTACCAACAGGTGGGCTGTATGCTTGTTTGCCACCTCAGTGGTATAACAAAAAACGCACATACTAATGGTAGTGGAATTAAACAAAATAATTTTAATCAAATAACCAGTAATATGGACTTCCTTAAGATAACACCTAGTTCAATAAATTCATTATTATTATTACAACCATTCAAATGGCCGGCAGCATACCTGCAATGCCGCTGGTGTTGTGGGTGATCATGGACAGCGGTAGTCACTTATCATCAGGTGAGCCGCATGATCGTTTGCCCTCTGTGTTGTAAAAAAAAAACCATTAATTGTCCACATCTAAACATAGGTTACTAAAATATTTGAGTGGAAATAATTACAAGGTTATTTTTATACACCAGAGGGAGACTTTGTACAAAAGTCGTTTGCTTGTACACCTCTGTCCCATTCGTGTTTCTACCGTGAAGCAGTTGTGTTTGCATGGCTGTGTTTCAGTTTAAAGGGTGTGATATGGCGTGAATTTACAGGGTACAGAGGAATAACACCTGAGTCCTCAGGAATGGCAACGCATGGGTGGTATCATGGGCGAAACAGTATACTGTGTTATGTCCATGGTACTGCTCATGTCTATAGGCGACGGTTACCACTTTCCATCAGGTGGACCGTCAGCTTGTTTGTCATTCTAAGTTGTATAAAAAAGGAATATAATACTCCTCTGGTCGAGCTATTACCGAAGGATAATTAATAACTCTTAATAACTCTTCACAAGCACTATATCTCTATATGGTCACATACATAGGAGTAAAAAGTTGCAGGGGCGTGCCATGTTAACGTGGACAATCTGTACATCGTTGTATCACTAGCATTTATAGAAGGTTTATACATATGTCAACAATATCCTACTTAATATTCTCCTCATGTACATAATATATGAGACGAGAAGCTTTCGAAGAATACACAAAAAAAAAGGGTTGAAATCCATTCTAATATTTAATAAGAAAAAGTGTTGTTTGTCGAATATGCGCCTCGATAGATGGATAGGACACCCGTCAATGTGTCACAAAAATCCAAATTGTTTTTGATATACTACGTACCAGTTGGCAGTGATCTCAAATATATATATATATATATATATATATATATATATATATATATATATATATATATATATATATATATATATATATATATATATTTAATATTTTACTGATTTTTATGATATTTTTTTGCATATCGAGTAAGTCTGAGAATCAGCCAACATCTATTTTTCATACCCCTCAATGATAAGAGCGACCTACCCCAAAAATTTTTTTTTATTTTTTATGAATTTCATTTTTATTTTTATTTTATTATGATTTAGCATTGAAAAATACATACAAATTCCAATTTTCACGCTTTTACGATCAACTGTTTTTTATTCGCGATTTTTATATTCCGCAATATGGTTGCAAGATGGTGATCGGGTATAATAATTGTAGTATGATAAATTTTCATGTACAGTTCTCGAAATAAAGTATATGGTAAAACAACGTTTGCCGAGTCAGCTAGTTACTGTATAAAATTACATTGATTTTAAAAATTACAATAATTACAATACAATATTCAAGTCCATAAATAAAGTTATCATTCATTCAAAATCAAGAAAAGCATTCCATTCTTTAGCAGTTTGCTTTAAGAACAACTACGGCTGACCGTAGCATATCTGAGTCCATAGGGTAAATTGTTTGATGGTGAGCTTAGAAATGGAGTGTCAAGTGATTTACGCAGGCCTGATTAGACTTAATATTTTGACGCCAGATCTATAAATGTCATCACCATATCAGCTTCTAATTGTCCACTGCTGAACATAAGCCTCCCCCTATTAGGGCTACCTATCAGTCAAAGTTTAAGTGTTACATTGAATTTTATACCTCAAAGCAAAATACAACATAATTCAAAACAATTGGAGCAGTCTGACGGATGGAATACCCGTCTATTCCATGCTTAAACTTGTTAACTAACAAGTTTGTTATATTATATGAAAACAAGCGCCATATGAAATAATAATAAAATATTATCAATTTAGGAGAACAAATAACGAATTCTCCAATTATAGTTTTGCTAAATGGAGACTCAATTTTTTTGTTTCCAAGGTAAATTTAGTAAGCTTAGATTTTATTTATTTATTTATAGGATTACCAACATAAGATACAGCTACAATAAAGCTAAATTTTAATACAATACACTGGCAGCTCAGATCTCACTGTTCTTACATTTATAGGCATCATGCCTTGCAGAACACAAGGCATGCTGCATCATCATGCAGCATGCCTTGTGTTTGACAAACATTAAAATATAATTAAATTATTAAATGAGTAAAGATATTAACAATATAAATAATAATATAATATAAATAATGGAAATTGTATTCAAATTATTATAAAATATAAATAAATATAATGTAATGGGGAGGTATATCAACACTTTAATTTAGTCATGAATACAGAGTGACTATCGTTGTGAATATCAAGTTCAGGCTTGGTTTTTACAATATCGTTATACAGTTATATATATATATATCGTTATATATAAAGCATCGAGTCTCAAAATCGGGTCAACTTGTCAGCTAATTGTCAAATTTTTGACAATTACCTGACAATTGATAAATGATTTTTGCTGATTCGTTTTTTTTTTAACAATGTTCTATACATTTACGCACATAATATATCTTGACGTATTATTTAATAAATAAAATTAATATTTGCGCATTAAAAAGGAGCAGAATTTATAAGACAAAATAAATATAGAAGTTATAAAGGAATCATTCATAACTATTTATCACGCAAAATTGTATGAGTGTCGTAAGAAGCGACTAAGGGAGGGCAAAGCATGGGCAGCTCTCTCTTAAAACATCCCCAAAGCCTAATTACGGTTGCCAATCCCTTTGCCAAGCATGACAAATACTGGTAAAACCCCCCAAAGAAGAGGGCTATGCTTAGCAGCGGACAGTTAAAGTCTGATATGATGATGATTATCAATATTATATCCTGCAAACGTAAATCAATTGCGCAAGCGAAAATTCCATTCCATTTACAATTCCTAAAAAGTTAAGAGAGGGACTGGCTGAAAACCAGCTCTGTGCAGCTGTTCACATTGCGTTGGGACACTCACAGCATCAGCTGAACCGGTTTCTTTTGCCGAATATGGAACACTTTTTGTATATGTTATTTATATTTTATATTGTAACTGTAAGGCAATAAATGTTTCTATTCTATTCTATTCTATACTAAAAAAATACTATGGTATAGGCGTGGCGTAGGTGACAGATCATCATTTTCCAGCAGGTGCGCCATCTTTTTCCCCATTCTAAGTGACATTATGAAAAAAACGCGCCTTATTTAGATCTAGTCTTACTCGAAGGTGTTCCGAAGACCTGCAAGTGTATTGATCTCAATTTGATGCATAATCTATGAAGATATTAAATTGCAGTTAAGAGCACGACCACGTCAGTTTTCAAATAAAAAACCGCATCATAATTAGGTTATTTGTTTAGAAGCTACACACAAACAAATATATAGATACACAGATATACAGACATGTTAGATTTATAACGCCCCTCTGACGC